AATGATAAATGAGCAAATGAATATTTAAGGTTTTTAATATAAGCTAAGTGAATAAGAATTATATTAGTTTTTAGAATAATTTTTAAAAGAAAAATTTGAATAATAATCTAAATTAACTATAAAAGAGAGATTTTAAGAATTGTAAGGCCGATTCTAAGTAGTTACTTCAAAATAAACTAAAAATCAATAACAATAATATTAATACTAATACTAATAATAATTAGAATAAAATCAAAGTCATGATAGTATTACAAGTAATAAAAGTAAATAACAAATATAATAATAACCAGATTCTTCACATTAAGATTAGTCATATAATGAAATTAATGAAGAATAAATGGAGCTAATATAAAATATTGCTGCAATTATGATTTAGAAGGTATGGAGAGGTTATAAAACTAGATAATTAGTTTTTGATTATCTCTAATATTTAATATAATAATAAGAAGAAGCTTAATTAGATGATTAAGAAGAAAAATAGTTTTAAGAAGAAGAATTAAATGAATAGTTATAAGAAGAAGATCTTAAAGTTATAGATTCAAGTAAATAGCAAAATCAAGATGAATGTCTCTAAAATGATTCTGCAATATCTCATCATTAAGGATATGCTCCTCCTCCTTCTGAATCTATAAATTAATAATCTCCTCCATAATCTAGTCCTAAGGGAAATTCTAATAATCTTTCTCTCAATTTAAATTATTTCTCTCAACCATAATAATCATTAGCATAATAATCTAATAATAATACTTAAATATTATAGGAATAATAATCTGGTTGCTAATCACAATCTGAAAATATTGAATCTCAAATTTAAGATTCTTTACCTTTAAAAAGAGTATAAAATTAACATGATTCTAATTAAGACCCTGATTATTATATTTAAGTATTAAAATCTCGAGAAGATGCTTTATAACAAAAATATAATTAATAGGTTATCCTGTTGGAAAAAATGTTAGAAAAAAAGAAAGTCACTATAGATTTGTTCTCTGAAAATAAAGAGAAGTTAGAAAGAAAATATAAAAGAGAAAGAGCAAAATTACAATAATCGAAAAATGAAGTTGAAAGGCTTCAATAAATGTTTAAAGAAACAATCAAATCTACATAGAAAGATCATTAATTTATGGAGAAGATTAAAATGTAATGTGATGATGATAATCTTTCAATCAGATAAATATTCTCTTTAAGATCTGAAACAGAACAATCAGACTATGAAATTGACAAGAAACCCATCCCTCATTATGGTTTATTAACAAAAATAAGTATTTTAATTATATATTTTAGAAAATGATCATTTTCGAAAATATTCAAAAAACAGAAAATAAGTTCGCAGTTTTGATTAGTAAATGAGTTTAGATGAAATATCAATGAAAAATGAAGAAATTTAGACAAGCACAATATATAATATTCATACAGAATCCATGTCTCATTCATTACATAAATCCTAATAATTTTATTCTAATAACTAATAATCTATTCCTTCATAAGAGATTGTATAAGTTGAAATTATTGAAATCCCAGAAAATAAGGAACCTTAAACTGATCATAGAAGATCTATTATACCTTTTGATGATCGTAAGATAGAAAATTTGACTGAAAACATTGTATAAAATATAATAGTTGAATTTGCTGAAGAATTAAATAATTTTCCTCTATAATCTTTGGGTGTACTAATGGAATGGGATGAAGAGTCTTAGATTGATTAATAATTTCCTCCAGGCTTTCCAACTACATTAAATTTCGTTAAAGATTATCTAGTATCTTTCAGCGAATTTATCCAAAGTAAAAAATAGTCTTATAAATAGAAAATTATATAAATGAATTTATAAAATAAATTAACACTCCTTTAGGAATAACTCCTTAAGATTTGTTAAAAAGTATATCTTTAAGTGACATGTAGTAAAATATTTTAGATGATTCAACATCTGGTCCATTATATCCATTAATTAAACATATTCATTAAATGGAGCCTCTTATTGATGAAGAAATTTGGTTTAAATTTAATTAATCCTACTCTCTCAAATTGAAATATTTTAATGATATAAATATTAGCGATTAGTTTAAAGAATTAGAAGTATTTCATTTAAGAATGGTTTATGAAGCATTTAATGAGGCCATTAATTATGTACGTCCTTTTGGAATTAGAGGTTAATCATATCCTTGGAAATCCAATCCATTAAAAGTTTATCAAAATATTACAATACCTGAAACTCTTGATAGAGCATTTGGATTTGCAATTTCTAAAATGTTAAAATGGGGATCTTTTCTTTGTGGTTTCATTCCAGAAAAAATTGAAACTCCTTAAGGAGAACTTATAGTCATAGAAGACGATTATTTAAACCAAATTAAAGAAGATAGATTATAATAAATGTTAGAATATGAAGTAAAGCATATATTATATTCAAAAGATTTAAGAATCTGATGAAAAATGGCTTAATTATGATGAAGAATAAGCTGAAGTTGCAGTTGAATTGGCAGATATAGTTTTTGAAGCTATGTTAGATGAAGTTGCTGAAGAAATATTTAGAGCTAATTCTAAATAAACCTTAACAAAATAATAATTTCAATATTGATATAATAAATGTTTTTTCTATTATGATATTTTTCAAAGATACTCTTTTTGATTGATAAGTTCTGGTTCATAAATCTAAAGGTTATTTTATAAACTATATTTTATAGATATTTTATACTCTTAATAGATACGAATAACGTAAAGATGTATACTCTATTCATTTTTGTAGCTAATAAAAAATTTATAGTTGAATCCAGCAACAATTTATCTCTCTATTGATTCAACTTTTAAAAATTGAAAATCTTATGAGATAGTTTAATCCAATTTTAATCTGGCTGCTGCATAAATTTCATCATTCTTTTATTAATTAAAATATTCATCGACATCGATTGCTTCATAACTTCCTGTCGAAAGAACAGATGAGATGGCTATAGTTAATATTATCACTTTTAACATAATTTAATAAATTAATTAAAGTTCAATATAAATAATAAAACTAGCAATAGCAGTTCTATTCTAAAACTTTTTAAATGATAAGCACAATAAAATAGATAATTTTTGTATTCTTTGCCATTAAATTTTTGTATGTCATTATGTGAATTGAAAAAGAATTTAAACAAATTATATGTTTTTGGAAACTAAAATTATATTGTTAATTGTTTAAGTTTGACTTTTTTTCATAATTTTAAATCAAAGCTATTTATTTTTATATCTAATAAATTAAATATTCTGTTTTATCAAATTTTATCAAATAGTAAATATTAAAATTAAGAATAAATAAAAAATGGGAACAATGGGGATCGAACCCATGACATTAAGATCTTCAGTCTTACGCTCTCCCAACTGAGCTATACTCCCAACGCTGAGATTAATATCAGATCAAGCTAAAAGTATAACCAATCATTAAATATTTAGTCTAAAAATTGTAAATAATTTAGCAACAATATTATTTTATCCATATATAGAAAGTTAATAAAGTTTCTTTTTACTAAGAAATTGATTGTGTTTTGAAAGTTATTAACTTTTTTTCTATAAAATAAAGAAGAACCTTAAATTATTTTATTTAAAATAAATTTTAAATGATTTAGAATTACTATTTTTCAAAGCTATCATTATATTAATATTTCTTGAAAAAATTTTATGGAGCCAATTTAATAGTATGAATTATTTTTTTAGAATTACTGCATTAATAAAATGATTAAATTTTTTTATATAAAATCTCTTAAATTTAATTTCATAAATTTTTTAGTGTTTCAATTTTTACTTCCTTTTTTTTAAAATAATCTGTTCTCCTTTAATTTTCATTTGAAATAAGAAACTATTAAATTCAGAAAATTTAGGGCAAAAAGGGTATTTTTTATTTAAATAGAGATTAAAAAGAGTAATTCATGCAATCTTTAAATATAATAAATATTTCTAATGATTGCATAAAATTCTAAGTCTAATTTAAGAATAGTTATTTTTATCAAACAATTTTAAAAAAGCAGAAATTTAAAATTGTTGATGAAAAATAATCTCAAATAAATATCAAGGAAAAAAAAATATAATTATGAAGAGGTTTAATCATATTAAAATAATTAATAGAGAATAATAAACTATAATTTTTATAATAGAATTATATTTTTTAAATGATATAGATTTTACTTGATATAACTTAAATTAGTTGATAAAGAAATTTTGAATGATCTTATTATAATGTTGCATAAATTAGAATTGTTTGATTCTTTTTAATTATAATAATTATAAATAATTATATTATCAATGGGATAATCATCTATTACAGTTGTTGATCCAAATTACAATAATAACTATTCAAGATAAAGTTCAGCTTAAGAAGTTGAAGAATAAATAAAAAGAGCATTTAAGCAAGCATCTCCATAAGGAAGATTAACAAGAGATAAATTTAATGAAGCATTAGGAATATTTGAAAGTATTTAATTGAAAAGGTTGAGAGATACTCCTTTAGCAGATAAGCTATATCAATTATTTGATAAAGTACAATTTAATTATGAATTGTAGACTGAGGAAGGATATATAACAGAAAAAGAGTATTTGGAAGGCATAACTACATTGATTAATAACAAAGATAAAAGAATTATATGTAATTGATTAGTAAAAAGGTAGATTCATTTTAAATGATTGATAAAAATAAGGATAACAAAATAGAATTCTAAGAGTTTTATGATTTTGTAAAGGATAGTTGGTTGAGTGCTTTTAGATTATTAGGAGAAAAAGTCTGTTCAGGATAGAATCAATATTAATTAACATAATCAAAAATAAATGCATGGGCTTAAGGCTAATTGAATAAACTTTATGTTTAGGTTCAAGAGATCTTTATGAAATTTGCATAATAGAGTGTATTCTATAATATTAAATAAGTCATCAATGGATCCAATTGTGTTTAGACAATGGGTTATGAGTAATGAATTTGGATTCATTAAAGCAGAATTAGGAAATGATTCTGTTTAGATTCCTCTTCATTTATACAGGTTAGAAGAGAAATGAAATTATAAATAATTAATCTATAAATATTATGTATTGTGCAGATAATTATATAAGTTGCACAATTATTTATGTTTTAAACATATTTGGCTTATTTCTAGTGCTGGGAATATTATTAAAAAATAGAGAGTATTATTATAAAGAATGGAAGAGAATAAGGTAAGTCATTAAAGATTATACTATGTAAGAATAAATAATAATATATTATTAGAGATTACAGAAGTGATTGTAATTTTCCAGTATTTGCTAAATTTATAGGCATAATAGTAGGATTTTGTATCTTAATTTTAACTAGTGTAGTTTCTGTATTAAAATTATTTATCTAAGATAATTATGTGGGACAATAGTTTTGGATTTATGGAAATATCAAATATATTTTTATGGGTAACATGTGGATTCTTATTTTACATTGATTATCGTTCTATTTTTTAATTTTCTAAGTATTACTTTCCTTATTTCAAAGATAATTGCGATTTGCTTTAGCAATTATTTTGCTTATTTAATTATCATCAGGAATAGTATTTGGAATAGAAAGAAATTTAGAGAAAGAAAATAGAGGATTGGATGAGTTAATTGTTGAAACATCTGTTTATTTATGCAATTTTGTAATTATGCTTGTTATTAATATAATAAGCATATTCTTTCCAAAGTTTGATTATTAAAAAATAAGTAAGAATAGTGATGATAATAATTTTATGAGTTTTAATACACTTTAAAATCATTTAGTGAGTGATGATTCATTATCTTAATAAAATTTAAAATAAAATGCTAATTCTAATTAAAATTAGTAGAATCAAAGGTTATCATAAAGTTTGAACCCAAAAAGAAGTCAATCATTTTTAGATTAATTAAATGAATTAAATTAGGATGATAGCTCTTAAAGTTCTTTAGGTTCTTCTAGTATATAAAAACTAAAATAAGAATAATCAGGATTAATTGATCCAACTTATGGTTTAAAGAAAGAGGAAGAGGCTGTATAAAAGGAAAAAGAGTAAAAAGAATTAATGAGTTAAATTATGGATATGCATAAATAATTAGATGAAAAGTTAAATAGATTAAAGTAGGATAGTGAAAATACTTAATAACAATAAAAAATATAATAACCATTAGATAATGATAAAAATAATGATAATAAAGAAGAAATTATTAATTAAGAATAATTATCTAAGTAATAAGAAGTAAGTAATAAACCTAAATATGAAATTTAAAACATAAAAATAGAAGGATTTGAAGAAATTAAAAAATAAGGAAAAAGATATATTTATTTTAAAATTTTCTATTTTTCATATTCTAAATAAAAGCAAGTCCGAACAGAACATAATTTAAAAGAATTTCATTAATTAAGAATGGCTTTATAATAGAAATATGTGGATCATTCATTTCCAGAAATACCTGAAAGAAAGCCAAATGAAAGATTGAAAGGTAAAGAGGTAGCAAATAGAGGTGAAGCACTTGAAAAGTTCTTATAATTTATAGTTAAACATTAAATGATATGTCCTGCCTTAGATAAATTCTTAGAAGAAACTTAGGGTCTTATTCTAATAGAAGAAGAAAGTAAACTATTTTTCAAGATTTTAGATGATGCTAATATAGATGAAGTATTAAAAAATAAAACCTTTGATGACTTTATGGAAAACAGAAAAGCAAGTGTTGCATCAAAAAAAAGTTATTTAGACAAGGATTACAACGATGATAGTTTTGATCCTAAATCTAGTATGGCTTCACCTTCATATGATTAATCATTATTCTTCTAAAGAAATAATGATCGACTATCGTCAACTATATCACCAGGGTTGGGATATGGTCATAAATTTTTTATTAAGGAAGTTAAAACTCTTTAATCAATTACTGTATAAAACAATAATAATTTAGTTTTATAATATTGAAGGATCAGTAAATGGGCAGACAGTATCAAAAGTTTCAAGAAGGTATAATGATTTTAAAGATTTCTATAAAAAGGTAGCATTTAATTATATTTTTAGTTATAAGAAAAGTAATATTAAATACCTGTTTTACCTAATGAACCAATCTAAAAATAATAAGATGTTATTGCATATAGATAAGAAGCATTAGCTTAATTTTTAAATACTTTATATCAAAATAAATCAGTAAAAACGAATATGATTTTTAAAGAATTTGTAGGTATTTGATTATGTATCATAATAAATATATTTCATAAACCAATTCCTTTTTATTTTTATCTTTACATAGCCTTTTTATATTATAATTCTAATTCTTTATTTCTCTTTTCGATTTCTTCTCTTTACTTCTCTTATTCATCATCATCTGATTCATTTTTTGCGCCCATTAATTTTTTAAGTTTATCCTAATTTTCTTTACTTAATCCTCCCATATTCCATATTTTTTATTTTTTTTATTATTCTTGATTACCTTTATTTTATTAGATTTTTTTATTTGAATCTGATCTGCTTCTTGATCTTGAAAGTTCTATATCACTATCTATAGTTTCAAATTATATCTCAAGTTCAGATTCATACTCCCCTAATTTTATTTTCATACCCTCTCTTAACAAAACTAACTAATTTTATTTAATTGCTTTATTATTAATTTCTGTTCCATTAGCAGATCCCAAATCTTGTATGGTGATACTAGATTTGCCTACAATTAATTTAGCATGTTGTCTACTAATCGAGTCATTTTTAATCACTATTTATGCTTAAGCTTTACTCCTTCCAAGTACATATACTTTTCTTTTTAGCTTTAATCTTTTATCAGAAAAAATTAAGTAAAACTATTTAGCCATTTATTAATATTTATATTAATTCTCCTTGAAGAATACATTTTTACTATTAATATTTTTACTCTATAATTATTAGTTCAATTATTCTAAAAAAGCTCTTTTATTAACATCATTATGTTAATTGCAAATAATCTGTTATTAAAAGCCAGCAATTTATTCGTTATTAAATTAAAAATCAACTACAATCAAATTTGAAATATTATGAGCAAAGAAGTATTAGACCTATAAGAAGCATTAGAATACTAAGTAGATGTTGTATTGAGACTTGAAGATGAAAGATTGTTACTCTAAAAAGAGAATAATATATAAAAGTAATATATAAATTTCAAATCTAGAGAAAAGTTGAAAGAGTTAAATACAATGTTATAAAGATATCTAGGATAATAATTACTTTAAATAGAAAAACATACACAAACTGAATTATAGGACAAGCAAAACTTTGAAGTACAAACTCAAGAAGATGAAATTATTTCAGATTATTCCTTAAGTAATTCAACTGTCTCTGTTATTAATTAAACAACCCTTACATAATAATAAAGTTAATCAAATTCTTCTAAAATTCTTGATCAAGCTAAATCTTTAGTAAAGCAATCTGCTTAGAGACTTCCTGTAAAAAAATTAAAATTTTGTGGAGATAATTATAAAGAGAATAAGGATAAAGATAATTTAGAAAAAAAAGAAATTAAACCAACTAATGTAAAACAAAATGATTCCCAAAGTGAAGCATTAACTAAAGAAATTGTTAATCTAACTAAGTAATTACAATAATTAAAGGTATATATAATATATAACTTAGTTGTAATAAAGAAGTTCTTAAGAAACAATTAAAAAGTATGAAAAAGATACTGGAGAATTAGTAAAATTATTAGAAGTTAAAAATGAAATGCTAAACAAACTTAGAAATGAAAATGCCGAAATGGCTATCATAATTAATTAAGATAAATTTAAAAGCGTTCGTCAATTAGATTAAGAATTAAAAAAAGAGAGAGATGAAAAATAAAAATTTTAAGCTCTAATTTCTTAAAAAACAGAAGAAAATTAACATTTAGTAGAGGAACTTAAATAATTTAGAGAGGTTCTTTCTAAATTAACAGATGAATTTGAAAGATATAGAAGCATGTAAATTATCTAATTTATTCAAGGCATAATCAAAGTAATATAAGTTAATCAAAAATTGAAGCAGTTGATACTTCATTTTATTAAGAAGAATTAAAAATAAAAGCTTCAACTATCAATGAATTAAAATTGTAAAATGAACAATTATAAGAAGAAGTTGACTATTTTAGAAATTTAAGCCTATAATAAAAAAAAATTACTGAAAAACAAGAAGAAGACCTAGACTTCTACAGAGAAATATTAATTAAGCATAAAATAATTAAATAATGAAACTAAAAATATTCTATAATTAATTAATAATCATTATAATTTGTAAATAACATATTAATGTCTATTTTTCATATAATTGTTAGTTTACATATTTTAAGAATTTTACAAATTAATTAAAAATACTATAAATTTTATAATTATGCTCAATAAATATTTTACTTTTTATAAGGTATGCAGAGAAAAAGAAAAGCTTTATAAGTTCATTAAGAATGTCTATGCTGAAAAAATCAAATAAATTGAAGAAAGTTTAGCTTATGCTAATGATATTTAATACACAATATTAGCTTTAGAAAATACAAAATTGATAAAAAATGAGAATACTAAATAAATTGTAGATATATCTAAATAAATATTTCATAACTTCAATATATCTAAATTGGATTCTGCTTAAACTGCAGTAGATTTACTAAAAGTTTTGACTCAAAATCTCTAAGCTAAGGATGTTAGATTATATAGAGAAATATATTAATTTTATAAAAGGTATTCTTAATTTTTTAATCAATAACAGATAGAGACTCTGTAACATTGTTATTATTAATTAGCAAAGTAAGTTGAATTTAATGACTTAATTCAAATTGATGAGCATATTTCTTCTTTGAAATATACTCAGAATTTTAAATTTATCTAATCTGATATTTATCAAATTAAAAAAAATGAAGACTGGAAAGTAATGTTAAAAGAAGATTCTCAATAGCTGACAAGTGCAGCAATATTAACACATAAAAATGGCATTACATTAAGAATTTAAGGAGTTTTTTAAAATAATTATGAAAGTATTATTGAAACAAAAAAATTGATATCAGAGAAAAAACCCGATATTATTATTTTAAATATTGCTCCTATTATTTTAAATTAGATTTAAAAAGATAATGAATTAAATATTGAATAAATTATAGATACAAATAATTAATCCTAAAAAGAAGAAGAATAGAATAATAAACAAGTTTTTGTAAGCGATTTAGATCCTCTTATAGAAAAATTAACAAAAAAGTTTTAGGTTTAAGTTGAAAAACAAATTTTGACTGGATTTTAATAAGGATTTTAAGTTCCATTTACTATGGAATCTCTTCTTTATTAATTTTTTTAATTAAGAAAAGATTAAAAATAACCTATTTTTATATTAGGAGGGTTAAGTTTAGAAGATCAAATTAGATTATATGTTTAGACAATCCCTCCAGCAAAAATTACATAGGAATTATCAACTTTGAGATATCAATGGTTGAATCAATTATTATGTGATTTTTCTGATATTAAAAAAAGTGGATGTATATTATGTAATTCATAGCCTAATGGTGTTATACCTCCATCTAAAATTCTTAATGAATCATAAAAGATGAAAAAGATTTAAGCAGATTTTCTTGCTGAAATGACATGTAAATATATAGGTAGTAGTGGTAAAAAACAATTTTTAGTTGTTGTTTAATAATCATTATTTTTTGAAACTCTTAAAAGTATAGCATAAAGAAATATTGAAAAAAATGATATAGATATTGATGTTTATAGAACTGAATATTTGGAAAAATTAGAAGCTAAAAAAATTTTAAATTAAAAACATTATTAAACTTTTTAATAATTTTATGAAGAGTAAATATATCATAAATTAATTAGTGCTTTAAATTTTGAGAAACCATATAAATATTGTTAATAAGAAATGTTGGATTTAAATAAATTTTCAAGTTTGAAATATAAAAAGAGTTAAGACTTACGCTGTGGAATAAGAGATATATTATTTTGATAATTTTGTGTAAATTAAAATTATTAATTTTTAAAATCAAAGAAAAATATTATGATATTGAATGTTTAATAATTATTAATATATTTTTAGTTAGAAATACTGTTAAGTTAAAGAACTATAATAATCTAATAGTAATATATTCTATAAATTTATTTTGTTCTAAATGAAATATTGTTTTAGTTTGTAAGAAAAGACATTAAATTTAGGTAAATAATATTTATAAATAATTTAATGTATGTGTTTATTATATTGGGCATAAGAAATCATTCTTTTTTTTCTTCTGCTCTTACTTTACCTTTGCCATTTGTCAATCTTACATTAAGTTCAGCAGCTCTTCTAACAAGAGTTGATCTTTTTCTAGCAGAAAGATTATGAGCTAATTCACCTGCGAAAGTTCTGTTATTAGTAAGCAATAATTCAAGATCCTTTTCATTAGTAATTAATAATTTTCTAAAACCAGCTTAGTCTAAATATCTAAATTGTTTTATTATTTATATACCTAGTTTTTTTATCGCTTCTATATCCTGATTTTGGCATAGGTCTATTACCTCTAAATCTTCTTCTGACTCTGTTATCAATACCTCTTGGTCTTCTCCAACTTGGTTTTAATTTATGTGGATAATCTTCTGATTCGAATCTAACAAATCTCTTTGTTCTCTTATGTACAATTTTTTTGTGAGCAAGTGATTTGACAACCATTTTTAATTAAATAAAAGATTTTAATTCAAATATTCATCTTCATTCTCAGTAATAATAAATAATGATCATTATATGCTTTTGCATGAAGAAAGAGGCTCCAAACCATAAAATAGTAACCAACATGATACAATACGTTTGCACTTGCCTATATTATTTATATCGATATTTAATACTCTTAATTCAAATAATTCTTTCCTTTAAACTTTTAATACTATATTCAATGAATCGCTTAAAAAAAGAAATACTGCACCTACTAATAACAAAGTGAATGATTTCTTGCTTGTCTTTCCATAACGATGAAAAGTATATGAACTAAATAATGCTGAATAAAACAATAGACCAAATGCTACAAATTAATTGTAAAAGTCATCCATTTTTTAAATTGCATATCTAGACATCACAATTGATAACACTAACAATCCACCTTATAATACTCTTATTTAAAGCATTAAGTCTCTATTTTATTCAGATTGGTATCTACTTTCAAAGTGACGATTTGATAAAAATATAAACAAACACAGTAAAGAATAACAAGCCAAATCCACAGGATTCTTTTATTGTAGATAATTTTATTACTTTATAAGTTAATACTTCTGAATACGCTAAGTATAAAGCTAGAATCTAAAAAATAAAAGTAAATATAAATAATTAGAAATATGCTTAAGTATTTCTCTATATAGAGTTAAACTTTTTTATTTCTATTTAAACTCTTGGCTCAGTATCTATTATCTTACTCACTATATCTTGCATTTCTTTTTTATAATATTTTAACATCTCTTTTTTTGATTTCTATAAATAATAAATCCACATCCCAGTAGTCAATAGATTTGTAACTACAACTATATTATATTCAAATATCATTGATAAAACAGTCAAACTTGCTCCAACGATAGGAATATATTGCATAAATTCATCCCAAGGCAATTTTTCAACAAATTCCTCGTGTTGTCTTTTTTAATTCATAAATTAATTTTCTGTTTTAAAGCAAACTTCTATAACTAATTTTTTATAATTAATTAAAAATTTCAATACATAATCAAGTCCTTTTTATTCAAATCAAGATATAATAATATTATTGTTTTTCTATCATTTCTATTAATTTTTCTAAATACAATAAAATGGATAACTATATTATAGTTTAATATCTTAAAGATTAAATCTATGAATTAGAAATTTATATATAATATTTTAATAATATGGATAATACTGAGAGTATGATTACAGAAATCTTTAAAAACGAAATATAAATCAAAAGAATTAAAAAAGGTATCCTTGTTAAATATAATAGAACTTTAATAAATGGAATAGTTAAGAAAAGAAGACTTTAAAATAACTCTAAAAACATTAAGTCCTAATTTATAAATAATTGTAAAATGTTTAATTAAATAAGGTCGAAATGCCTCCTATGAATTAATTAAATTAAGGAAAATCAATTTTGTTTGCATTATATTTAGATAATAGATTTCCATTCGTTTTTCCAAAAGTGCATATATTAAGCTAAGTACTCTTAAAAATTATTCTAAGATTACAAAACCATCATTATCAGATGGTCGAGACTATTTAGAAAATATTATTTCAGTACCATGGAGTCCTTAAATTTTGTTGGCTGAAATAATTAAAATATTTCCATAATTTCTTGTAATTTTGTTTTTTTCTAATAATAGGAAAAAATTCAATAAAATTATAATAATAAAGATTATCTATTAAAATTGGGTAAATACTTTGAAAATTAAGAATTTGATTTAAGAATAGGATTAGAAAATATTGAAAATTTAGAATGTAAATAAATAATTAATGGAAATTATCATTAAAGAACTCTTTTAATTAGTGATAGTCATCTATTAAATCTTGAATATTAGAACAAAGAATTTATATTATTAAATTACTATTGTTTGAAAGATTTACAAAAAATAGAGAGACATTAAAAAAATATTAATATAAGCTGGTAAAAAGAGGGTAGCTTTATTGTTTAAACATTAACTTCACCTAATTTTGAATAGCTTTACAATGCTATTAATTCATTTAAATTAGGCTTAATTGGAAAAAAATTTAATGAAGATGATGTGACATTATAAAAATTTGAAACCATTTAAATAGATAAACTTCTATAGTAAATGAATGTAAATGAAGTGGAACTATCTAAGAATCTCAATAAAGTATCTTTAAATAATCTAATGGTTTCATATTAATAAGTATAATATATAAATAAATTTTAGGCGATCGAATATTATTCAGCATTTTCAGATGAAGACTATAAATAATATGTTATTCGTCTTTAATAATTACTTGGAAGAGAAGATGTATAAATAATCTTGGCTAGTCCTGTTAAATGATTTTATTTTTTATAGACTTGATTATTTGAATTTAGAAATCTTAATTAGATTATAATTTTTTAATATTTATCATATTAACCATTCTAATAATATTCTGAATATTTCTTTACTTTAAATTCTTTATTTAAATCAACACTTTTAATAAATGAATCATTTATGGTCATCTTATTTTTTGACAAAAAATTAAGATATTAAGATATATTTATGTAAATATTGCTCCAAGATTTGAATTTATCTAGCCAAAAACATCGAATTAAATGAATACATGAACATTATTAATTATTAATTAAGTAACTTAATTGATTATAAAAGATATTACTGGGGTTATGTTACCTTTAAATTTTTTAAGTGATTATACAGCTTCAATAAAATGAGGCAATATATCTATTAATCAAACATAATAAGATGCTCTTGAATTACAATAATCTTTGCCAAACAAAATTATCCAGATGAAATAAAACAAAAATATGTCATAATATTAAAGCATACAAACTAAATTCTATTTAAATAAAATATGGACTGTTGAATTAATAGATAATAAATCAAATTATTTCTAAATAATTAATACAATGATATAATCACAATTTTTGTGAATCTCTTAGTTTATTTTATTTAATTGAATCTGAAAATTATAATATTTTTTCAGAATAAATTTAAATTCCATATGTACTCTTTATAAGATATTTTTATATATATATGGAATATTGCACCAGAATAATTGATAATGATATTGTATCAACATACAATTTTATTAATTTGAATATCATTCTAAAAAAATCCATTGGAATGGACACTACCTTGCCAATCATCCATAGTTATTAATTTGTTCAATCATTTAGAATGTATGAATATTTTAACTATGTAATTAAATCATATAAATTATCATTCAATCAAATAGTATTAAAAAATTAAAAATTTATTTTTTTTTAAATGAATCTTATCAAATTGTCTGAATCTAAATTAATTAAACAAATAAATATATAGTTAAAAATTACACTAAGAATAAGGTTTAATTAATATAGAATTATTATTAAGAGAAGTCTTAAAAAATTAACAAAAAATAATGCAGCTAATTTAGGTTAATTTATAAAAAAAGTAAGAAAATTTACAAAATCTATATTTTTAAATTAAAGACTATAATGAAATAGATTAGGAATACAATGAGTAAGAGAAAATAAAATAAACAACAAAGTTATTAAAGATAAATGATGATACTCAATAAAGTAATTGGGGATTATTTTGGAATTGAAAAATATTGATAAAAATAATTATTAATAGAAATAAACACATATTATACTTTATAAAAATACATGTTTAAGACAATAAATTTCTCACAAATAAAAACAATAATTAAATATAATGATAGATAATAAACCTAAGATCAAGATTGTAAAGCAAAATCATTAAATCAATTCATCAGCAGCTAATCCTCATAACACTTACTTAGATACAAAAGAAGCAGAATATTTAAAAAATTATCAAAACAAAACAAACGATACCTTTAATTTATGGGATAATATTCTTGAATGGTACATTAGAACATTAGGAGATGAACTATATAAATTGGCATTTATAAATAAAGATAAATATTATAGAATTAAGGTCTTTTGGCCTTTAGATTGTGAAATATTTTTCCAGAATAATAAATAAGGTATATTTAAGTAGAATGATAATTAAAAACCCTAATAATTGGATAATATTAGATATTACCTTAATCAATTCTAAAACTTTGAAATAGAAGATTATTTTGATGTGATAATTTTTCCTTTAATTGATAAAAAAAATTTTAAATTGACTCTAAAGGTTCTTGTTAACCCATTTACATTTTTATTAGATCATTCTAATTAAGAAAATTTGAAGTAAAAAAAAAAATATTCAGAAATTGAAGGTCTTTAGCTATTTTATGAATTAGAAGAATATAATCCTTTGAGGTAGAATACTGAAAAGGAGTTTTCGATTTTATCACAATTAACTAATAGTATATTAAAAAAATACGTGATAAGATAAGAAATTATAGATTCACAAAATATGATAAAACTAATAGAACCAGAGGAATTGAGAAGAAGAATAGCACCTATCATAAAAGAAGAAACAAGAGTAGTTCTATATGAATTATATTAAGATTTATGAGAATTATCATTATTAAATTAATTTTATGAACAAACATCTATAAAAATTCTCTTCATTCTAAAATTTTTAGAAGGAACAATAATCTTCAAATAGGTAATATAGATTAGCATAAAAGATGTAATAAGATTGCTTTATGTGTATCACAACTCAGTCTATGATTTGACAGACTTTGCTCATAAGCATCCAGGAGGTAAAGCAGCACTGAATATTTATAAAGGAAGAGATCTGGAGAAGGTAGATAATGAATTTATAATTTATAGATATTCTTCAATCCATCTATACATAAACATAATGCAAATGCTCTTCAAGTTCTAGAGTAATATAAGAGTGGTATTATCGAAATTAAGTAATAGTCATCCATTTTTAATTCCAAATCGACTAATTTCACTGTAACTTAGATGCCAAAATTACAATCAATATCTAATGACACTAAAACTTAGCCAAACAAAAAAACATCTGCAAAGTCTTAATCAGTAAAACCTAAGTCATATCAAAATGATGATAGACTCAACTAATCAATGAATAATTTGAATTAATCAATGACAAGCAGTGTAAAATCACATTTCTTACATATTCCAAATTAAATGGAAATTATGTAATTATAGAAGTAAAAACAAAAATAATTGATTTAAACTTGGAAATAAACAGAAATTGATGAACTTAAAAGATAATAAGCTGAAGTATTAAGATTATAAAAGGAAAAAAATTCAGACAATGATGATAGAAAAGTTTAAAGTGAAATTATATCTACATAAAGAAAACCATTAAATCCTTATTATTAGGCCTGGCTTGATAAAAAGAACATTAAATTCAACGAAACTAATATCAATAATATCTTACCTTTATCCCTTACTTAAAATTATAAAGAAGATGATTAAAATACTATTTAAAATGATACTTAAAGTTATCATCAATAAAAACTAACTTAATCTGATATAGGTTAAAAATAAAAAAAAAAAATCAATCCTTATTATGAAGAGTGGAAAAGAAAATAAGCTTAAAAATAATACCAACAATTATAATAATCTATTATTTGTGAAGAAAATGAATCATAACTTTCAGGCTAACCATCATCAGTAAATAATAGCTTTTAAAGATCATTTTCACTTATAAGTCAAAAAACTATAGTATAAGAGGATCCAAAATTATATGTTCCTGTTTTTTCTCCTAAATTTATCTCACCTTTAAAAGCAAAATTTTATAATCCTATAACAAATCTAAATGCATGAATAATAATATATATAAAAATTTTTGGTATTCAAAATAAAAATAAATTTTATCATAATCTTATGAATAATCCTGTTTTGAATGCTGCAAAAACAGCTTTATCAAAATAGTTATAGATTTCTGATCCTACTTTAATTTATAAGCATTTCTTAAAATACCCAAATCTATGTTCAAAAGAATTATTGTAAAATGAAAATTATTAAGAAATACTAAATAAATTAATATTTTTAGGAGGATTTCATGAAAGAAGAAACTGTGGAACTATTATAAAAGATATGGTTGCTAATTGTTTAAGATAATTTAGAGATTTGGAACCTAATTTAGATATTTCAAATTTAGTTTAATTATTCTTAACATTAAGCAATGTTTTAATATATGATGAAAAAATAATTACTTATATTCTTAATTAATTGAAACAGAAATAAGATTAAATTTAGGTTAAATAATTGCAATCTATTTCACATTGTTTTTATAAACTAGGAATATAAGATTAATATTGGCCTGATCTTATGCATCAAAAGGTTCTAAGTTATAGTAAAGTTTTTGGAATTTAAGATTTAGTATAGTATATCCATATAGTTAGCAATTAAGTTTTATTAAATAATGTTTAAGAAGAGAGGCTATTTTAATTATTAGAATTATTGTAATATAAATTTATACATCAAAAAAAACATATTTACTTATCAAAATTTTAATTTTAGTTCACTTAATTATTATTTAATTTATATCCAGAACTTATAAAGTAAAAGTATGATTATCCTTATTGTAATGAAGATAATAGATATAAAATCTTTTTTAATAATTTTAAGAAATACTATTAGATATGTAGATTACTTCTAGATAGAAAAGAAAGTAATATATCAGTAGATTATTTTGAAAATGATAATTTTCCTAATTTAATAAGAACAAAGGATGATTTAATTGAAAAAAAATAATCATAATTTGAATAAAATATAGAGTAACTATTAAAGAGGTTAAAATTAAATTATAAATGCTAACAAAAAATAAGCATATATGATATTGACTTTTTTGTAGAGAATTCATTTTTAATAAATTGTAATGGACCGACTCATTATATTGAGAATTTAGAAAAGGAAGTATTAAGAAAATCTCCTAATTTTTTTATGTAGCAAAGGTAAAAGATAATACTTAAAAAAAAGACATTTGAAACAACTAGATAATTATAAAATAATAGACTTAGATTTTTATTTTTGGGACAAATACGATACTTCAGATAAATATACCTAAGAGTTCAAGAAATTGTTAAATTTAATATGAATAATAATATTATTCAATTTAAAATCTTCCATTATAATTCTACAAATTTATTTTTGGTTTCTTTTAATTGAAGTTTTAAATCTGATTCAATAGATTTATTCAAAGATGTAGTAACAATTTCTTTTTCTAGTCTTTAAATTTCCTAATATAATTACTAATATTAAAGTTTATAATCTATCTTAATTGACAATCTCTTTACCCTCATTTTTACCAATACTAATACTTCTATTATCTTATTTAAAAGTAAGACTTCTTTTTGGAATATGTGTTTAATTCATTTCATCTTTATATGGAACAGAGGAGTCTAATTATTATTATAATAATCTTTAATTATAGATACAAGATTTATAATTGCAACACTTAATATCAAAAATCTAAGCTTCAACCATTTTAATAAAATGTGGATTCAAAAAGAATCTAAAAATCATTTATTATAATTTAATCTACCTTTCAGTTAAAGTCTTTATATCTAATCTTGAAAATGAAACATCATTAGATTCTTATGTTAATTAAAATTAACCTTGATGTTCTCTATTGCAATTATATTTATTTTATTTTTAAAAATTTCCCTTAATCTTGTTTTCTCTATATAATTAAGAAACACATTAATCAAACAGTTCCTTTAAATTTTTAGGTACTTTATTTTCTATTAAAGGAGTTCTTATATTTTTAATTTCAATAGTTAGATGAGGAACAATTTAGGATTATTTTTGAGTTATAGGTAAATTATGTTAACGAGATATAATAGTAGAATATTCTAAAATAATATAATAATAAAACATTCTTTATTTATGCGAGATGATAATCTTTATGTTTCAAGTTTTTAAGTTTGAGTATTAATTTCAGTTTTTAAATTATCCTATAGATTTTATTTTTTTTATGATCTTAAAATATCAATAAGACGTAAATTAGTTTCTTTTTCTTCAAATAATTGAGTTTGTAATTGCTTTTTTTATTTATATTAAAATACTTTGAGCTATGATTACAAAGTAGTTCGTAATTGATTTAAGTATTAACATTCTCCTTTATAAAATTTCAATTCTTTACTAATTATCTCTTCCTTTTATCAAATTAGAAATATACATATGTTTCTATTGGAGATTATTGAAATTCTAAAAAATCAAGAGTTTCATTAACTAATTCTTATATCTTTTAAGATTAAATCTTTTCTTCCTTAATAATAGTTGCTAATTTTAAACAAAATTCTGTGTATGTTAACATAATTAAATTTATATTTTCTTAAAATACTAATCTCATTTATGTCCAAAGTGAGTACTTGCAATACGAGGACCTTCTTTTAATCTAGCTTATGCTGTAACTGGTAATTTATAAGTCTTATCACTATCTTTAATGATTCTTTCAAAGATTCTATTAACACCATGTCTTGAACGAGTTTTATGCATAATCCAAGATTTCAAATAATAACTTAAATATTTATATATTTATACCCTTTATTTCCATATCCTTAAAACTTCTCAGTTACTATATCATATTTTTTAGATTTCTTTTCTTCAAATAATTTCTTTATTCTTTCTTATTCTTTTTCTGATAATTTTGCAATATCAACATTTCTATCAGGTGTCTTAAAACTAATTTATTTATAAATTTAATATATATACTTTGTCTATAAATATCCTGATTCTATTTTTCTCATTTATTCTATATCAACTCCATAATCTACTGCTCCAAATTATCTTTCAAAATATAGTTCTATTGCTATCAAATCTCTTAAATATTCAAATGGAAGATGTGGAAATACTTCATCAAAAAAATATCGTTTTTAATATATAATAGCTTTTACTCTATAAGGCATTATTCCATATTTAATTGATAAATCTCTAACTGTCCAACCCTCATTAAATAATCCAAACAATTCAAATTTTGCTCTGAATGATAATTTTGGTGCAGGTAATCTTCTACGTTTTCTTTATAAATTATCCTCCTTCATTAACCATCTTTAATTATCTTGTATTTTTCTCTTAATGAGTTTTTTTGCTCTTCTTGTTCTTCTTGCTTTCTTTTTTCTCCATAAAAGAAATAATTCTCTTTTTGGAGGTATCTTACTAACAACTTTATTGTTCTCAGGATTTTCATAAATAAAACTATAAATATTTTCCTTTTCTTGTCTTTCCTATACATTTTCATCCAAATCACCATAAAAATTCAATCTATTTTTATATTTAGATTCATTTTTTTCATAATCTTTATGACTATATTTTATTGCTAATAAATTTTTATCAAAAAGTGAATAATCTTGATAATCTCTATTTTCTCTTAAAAAAGTATCCCAATCTTTTTTTAATACATCAGATCTTATAATATCTTTACTTCTTTTTAATTACTCTTCAGGACTCAAACTTTAATAATATTAAGCAAAACTATTTTTATTTATTAATCAATTATCTACCTATAGTTAAGTACATTCATATATTAAGCAATTACTGCTTTTTCACTTGCAGATCCTATTTATTATTATTTATCCTCTTCTTAATCTTTCTTAAATAAGTTAAGCACAGATTCCTCACCTTTTTTTATTATTGTCAAATTTACTTTATAAATTATCAGCCAAAGACTTATAAGACTATTTAAGCTCATTAATGAAATTCTCTTATTATTTTGTTATCACTCTTTATTTTACTTTTGCTGTTGAACTTGAGAAATTTATCCGATGAATAAATGGATTTCTCAAATGTAAAAAAGCAAATTTAATCATTAAATAATTTAAAATCACTTTCTCAACTAAATTTTACATCAACTTTAATTTTCTTAAATTCACCCATACTTCTCTCTCATTTTATAATATCATGTTCTAATAACATATTCAAAACATTTTAAAATAGCTACATATAATTTCTTTCAAACTTTAATTCTATTTTACTTTTTTGAAAATCATCTATTATTTTAATATAGAATAAATTCATCTTTTTTATTTAAATGAATTCTTTATTATAAAATCTTACTAATAATTACAATTAATATCAAATTCAAACACTAGAATAATAAATAAATTAAAAAATTCTATTAATGGTTATAGAAAAATACTTTTTGACTTTATAAGAATTAAAAATTGGAAATTTTTACTAATATTATTTTGAAAAAATAATTCTAAATGAAAAATACACAACTCCTAAATTCACATATTTTCTTCTTAACGAATCCACATTTTTAGCTACTTATTTTATTAATTAGTTTAACATATATTAATTCAATTTGTACTTAGGTATCAATAAATTAACTAATATTAGAAACACTAAAAATTATTTATTATAAACAAAGAGACAGTAGGTTCATATTATCTCTAATTTATTTTAACAAGGAAAAAGAAGAATTGACTCTAGATAATTAAATGTTTTTTCGAATGGATTTATAAATTTAAGCGTCCTTAAATTTTGTTCATAATTTAATCATTAATAATTGATAGCTTTCAATCCCTTCATATTAAATAATAATTTGCTAAATAACTTAAATTTAATGTAAATATTCAAATTCCAATAATTTTATTTTTATAAGCTGTTGTAAATTATTTGATGTTGAGTACAAAAAATCAAATTCATAGAAAAAATGCTTCAAATACCAAAAGCAATGAAACACAAAAGAAAAATTGTAACTAATATTAATAAAGATAATCTAATATACAGATTGTACAATAATTATCATGTTTATAAATACTAAAAAAATTAGTATCAGGAACATCTAAATCATAAAATAAGAATAATTCAAAGACAAGAATACGTACAGAAGGAAATGAAAAGTAATTTAAAGTTCGTGCTTCGGCATCTCCAAAAAAAGATAAAGAGAAAGAATAATCAGCATCTCCTCCTTAAAGAAACGTAAATTCTTAAGTAGATGTAATCACAAACTTATTAAATTCAAATATGATTAATAATGAATATAAACGAATATCAAGAGAATAAAGAAATCAAAGCGCGGACTTTCAATAATTATTAGCATATTAACAATAAAGATAAGAAAATTTGTAATGGAAAAATAATGGTAAAAAGAAATTTAATTCTTATGGCAATTTAAATGATTAAGTTTATTTTTCTTAAAGAGGAGGATTAACAGAATGTTAATCCACAGTTTAACTAGTTTAGAATAATGCTGAGTAAAAATTAATGAATTAAAAAGGCTCTTACTCAATGAAACACTTTCCATCTCCAATAAATATATGTACATAATAAATTAGTTTATAAGAATTTAAGGAAAAATTAAGTAATTTAAGTAAAGATATAAAATAAAATAAATAACAAGTTGAAGAATAATTATAAAAAACATAAAAGAAATAACAACATATATATGATCAATATGATCATGAAGAAAGTGAAAAATAATTCAAATAAGAAGTTTCTTAGAGAAGTAAATCAGTAGATTCCTCATCATCTAGAACTTAATTAGAGAATTCAAAATATTAATAGGAATTTTTAAATTAGTATAAGAATAAAAATCAATAAAATGGTAATGAGAAAAAATTTATTTTAAACACTTAAAGTTATATAATTTAATAGAAATTGGAGAGTAAAATCGATCAATTAGTCTTTTAAGTGTAAATATTAAAGAAAAAATCAGAGGAGTTAGAATTACAAAATAGATTTCTATTTGATAATTTAACAAAATTTTAGAAAGATTCAGATTGTAGTGCTGAAGTATAAAATTAAATTAATATAAATAGGAAAGAAGTTTACTTATGAATAAATTAGATTAGATGATTGGAATGTAGAAAAGATAAGAGGAGAATTTAAATTTTTTTAAATAGATATTTGCCAAAGGGTATGATTAATCTCGAAGAATTAAAACTGAATAATAATAATAATAAAAAGAAGAAGATAATTTTAAATTAAATTAAAGGACGGAAATATTATCAAAATAAAGACCCTTTGTCAAATCAGCTTATCAAGGGCTCGATTTTAATGTCTGATTTTAATTTAAGCAAATAAGAAAATTTTTGATTTATATATTTTAATTAAAAATCTAAAGTGAATGATATGTGTCTGTCTGAATTTTTTAAATATTTATTAGATTTTTTAATATATAAAAAAGGTTATAGAATGCTTTTAGAAGAATATTTGAATTTTCTATTTGTTGATTAGTTAAGATGAATAAATAAAAAATTAATTATTTTAACAACCTAGAAATGAAATCTAAGTATTATCCGTAAGAAAAGAAACTGACGGTAATGATCATTAAGATTAATTAGAATATATCATTTGATTTGAATTCAAATAACAAACCAAAATATTATATATCGAACACAACATGTCAAAAAGATAATTAAAAGTTTTTTAATTGCAACAATATGTCTCCAATAATCGTTGATACATCAACTCCAAGAAAGAGACTTATTTCTGGGAAAAGAGTTAGTATTCTTGATTCTAAATTAGGCTTAACCAAAGTTGAATTCCTCTCATAATAGTTCAAACAACAAAATTTAAAATAGATAGAAAAAATCATCATAAAATTAGAGAACTAATTTAACCGTGAAGACAGGATCATCAATTGAAGCTCTAAAGGAATTAATGGGGAAAAGTATATGTCTAAAATAATTAGGCAACTTTAAATAATTATTGTAAATTAATACAGATAAATTCAAGAATGCAAAAGATATATCATTTATTGATACAAAAAAGAGTAACTCTACTGAGTTTGGATTTGATAATAGATTCAATAAACATTTCTAATAATTTAATTAATAAGGTAATAAAAGCACAACAAATAAATCTGGTTCTAAAGATAAATCTTCTTTATAAGTAAAGCTATTTAAGATTAATCAATAGAAAGTATTTTCAAAGATTATGGAGTAAGAAAAATAAATGTCACCTACAAAGAAGGTTGATTGGAGTAAGATCAAATTACCTATAAATCCAAAAGAATGTATTCAATAATATGGATAATATTTGACAGAGTATGAGAAATAGGAAATTCATGGATTTAGTAGAGTAATTTTAATTTACTATTTTAGATATATTGGATAGGATTGACATCTAAAAAAATAGATTAAAAATAATCAAATTATAATGATGGATTTGATGATTCAAAAGGTGAATATTTGTATTCTCTTAATGATCATATTGGATATAGATATGAAATTTTAGAAATAGCAGGAAAGGGAAGTTTTGGTTAAGCATTTAAAGTGTTTGATCATAAGAGATAATAAGTGTAATGTTTAAAAATAATAAAAAATAAAAAGAAATTTACAAATTAGGCTTTAGTAGAATTAAATATATTAACTTATGTCAAAGAAAAAGATGAAGAAAATGTAACAAATATAGTAAAAATAAAAGATTTTGTAATTTTTAGAAATCATGTGGTATTTCTTATTGATAAATAAATTAGTGTATCTCTTTTGAATTTTTGTCTATAAATTTATATTAGTTAATAAAGAATAATAACTTTTAAAGTTTATCATTGGAACTTATAAGAAGATTTGCAATTTAAATTTTAAATGCATTGAATTTTTTAAGTAAACATAAAATAATACATTGTGATTTAAAACCTGAAAATATTTTATTAAAATAGGCTAACAAAAGTGGAATTAAAATAATAGATTTTGGGAGTAGTTGTTTTGAAAATTAAAAGATTTATTCTTATATTTAATCTAGATATTATAGAGCACCAGAAGTAATGTTTGGAATTCCTTATGATACAAGTATTGATATGTGGAGTTTTGGATGTATTATGGCAGAATTATATTTGGGATATCCAATATTTCCAGGAGATGATGAATAAGAATAGATTGCTTACATTTTAGAAATACTTGGTATGCCTGATAATGAAGTTTTAGAAGTAAATAAATGAAAATTATAAAAGATTGCATAAAGAAGAAAAGTATTCTTTACTGATTCTCATCCTTTTTAGCCTTTGTATATGTAAAATAAAGGAACAAAATTGAAAGTCCCTGCAAGTAAAACATTATCAGAAGTGTTATAATGCGATGATGATAATTTTATTAATTTCTTAGAATAATGTCTAGTATGGAATCCAAAGAAAAGAATTAGTCCAATGAATGCTCTTATGCATGTTTGGATTCTTGAAGGTTTACCTAGTCAAATAAGAGTTTAACATGTTTAATATTTAGAGAGTTAATAACAATATTGTGATTTTAGTAATGTTAAATAGGGTTAATAAGGATAACAAAAATTGCATAATCATCACATTTCAGAGCCTGAGATGAATTAAGAAAATAAAGTAATTAATTGATATCTATTTTATTAAGAAACCTAATCAGATTAGAACCTTCTCAAGAGAAAAAGAATTATTGATTAATGTTTCATAGAATCCAACACCAAACAATAAGAAAATTTCTTCGTCTTTTCATTCTAGCAAAAACAGTAACAAATAATAAATGAATTTTATATAACAATAGCCAGGGACTACAAAATATGCAAATAAGAAAAGTCATTATTTTTATTGATTTTTAATTAATTTTTGATAACACTTTTATTTTATATATATAATATATATAGATATTAAGATTCTTAATATTAAATTTTGAAAATAATTATGTCATAATACGATAATCCTAATAATTGTTTAGATGGTTTTATTGAATAACTTAATAAATGTAAGCCTTTAACAGAAATGGATGTTAAATGGCTTTGTGAAAAAGCAAAGGAAATTTTGCAGGATGAAAGTAATGTTCAACCAGTTAGAGCACCAGTTACAATTTGTGGTGATGTTCATGGATAATATCATGATTTAATGGAATTATTTAAAATTGGAGGTAAAGAAAGAGAAAATAATATAAAGGTAATGTACCTGATACAAATTATCTTTTCTTAGGAGACTATGTTGATCGAGGCTATTACAGTGTAGAAACTGTATCTTTACTATTAGCTTTGAAGGTCAGATATAAAGTATCAAAGAGTTAATTTGTGATAGGATAGAATAACAATTCTAAGAGGGAATCACGAATCAAGATAAATTACATAAGTTTATGGATTTTATGAAGAATGTGTAAGAAAGTATGGTAATGCTAATCCATGGAAATATTTCACAGATTTATTTGATTATCTTCCAATTACTGCAGTAGTTGAAAATTCAGTATATTATAATATAATAAATAAGATATTTGGTTTACATGGAGGATTGTCCCCTGATGTAACAACTCTTGATGAAATAAGAAAATTAGATAGAATTCAAGAAGTACCTCATGAAGGTCCTTTATGTGATTTATTATGGAGTGATCCTGATGGTATTTTTATTAGTATATATTAAGATCGAAATGGATTTAATACATCACCAAGAGGAGCTGGGTTTACTTTTGGAGCCGATATTTCTGAAAAATATAATCATACAAATGGATTAACAATGATTGCAAGAGCACATCAATTAGTTATGGAAGGCTTTTAAGAAACTCATGATAAAAATTGTGTTACATTATTCTCTGCTCCTAATTATTGTTATAGATGTGGAAATTAAGCTGCCATTTTAGAAGTGGATGAAAATATGAATCAAAATTATCTATAGTTTGATCCTGCTCCTAGAAGAGGTGAACCTCATTTAACCAAAAAAACACCTGATTATTTCTTATGAAATTATTTATTTTGGTTGTTTCAATTAACATTAATTTATTAACTATATAAATGAGTAAGACTATTAGATCTAAAAATATTGCACCTAGTATTGAGTTCTGCAATGAAATTGTCAATAATTAAAAACTTCTTAAAGCTAAACAAAAAACTCTCTCAAAATTAAAAGCAGAGTTAGGAAATATGAATATGATTATGCCCATGACAAATTAAAAAATTGTACAAAGAAAAATTGAAAGTAATGCATTCATACATTTATTCTCCTTAGATCTAAAAACTCAATTAGAAAAATAATCAGAAAATAAATTAGGTCAAACCAAATATCCAAATCTAACGAATTAAAATTTCTAAAAATAATCTCCCTTAGTAAGATTAGAAAATCTACAATAAATAAGAATAAAAAGTGCAAATAGAACAACTTATGAAGGGGATGCTATAAACGTTAAACATCTTTAAAATTCTAAATATTGATTCAACTATTATAACTATATAAAACTAAAGTTAAAATAAATTTATAAATAACTTAATTTATTTTAACAGTTGTTTCTTTAAGAATTATACTTTGCATTAGAATTTCACATCTTTAATTTTTATGTTTTTATTACCATTTATTAAATATTCCAAGTCAAAATTTATAATAAGTTTTCTATAATTAATCTCAAAATATGAGAAAATAATATATTTTATTTTATGGATTTTTAATTGATTTAATGGGAAAGCTTTCTCTATTTTTAATAATATAACAATTTATAATTATCATCTTCAAAAAATCAAATATAAATAACTTTTTATACTTAAAAATTTTATATTTCTAAATTTTAAATAAGGTTAAAATCTTCATTTTTATATTTAAAGAAAATTCATTGAAGCTAAAATAATCAGTCAATATAATGCTTTTTTGAGGGAATTTTAGGTATGTTTATTTAAAAGAATAATTAAATAACAATTGTTAATATAAAATTAAATTATTTAAAATACAAATATTGCTGCTTTTAGTTAATGTTTTCTTCACAATTGCCATTATCTTAGCAATGATAGAAAAAGAATTCTCATTCTAATATATAGAGCAAGGATTTATTAATTACAAGAAAATCTGTCTAATATTCAATTGATGAGGATTAGGAAGTATAAATCTATTTATAAAAAAATTGTGAAAAGGAAAATTTTGAGACAAGAAAAAAAGGAAAAAAAAAAAATGAATCAAAATTTAATTTTTTGAAAAAATAAATGTAAAAAATAACATAAACAACACAAAATGAAAAAATAGTTGGAGAAGTAAAATGAAAATTGAATTTTTGAATAAAATATAATAGAAAAACTAAGATCTAAAGATTTAAAATGTTAGAATTAATTTAAAAAAGTAAATAGAAAAGAATATTAAGAAAACTAATTAAAACAACTGATTATGAAGTTTAGAGTCTAAAATTGAATTTATTCAAATAGAAAAAGTAAAAAGAAGTGAATAAAAAAAAGTGCTCAAGAAACTTTAGATAAAATTTACAATTACAAGTAAAGATTAAAGAAAATTGAGTTAAAGTAAAAATAATTTCAAGAAAAGAGGTCAATGAATAAATTATAAAAAGATAAGATGATTCATTATAAAAAATATAAGAAATATTAAAAATAGAGAAAGGAGTATAAGAAAAATTGAAGAATTCTAAATGAAACGAATGATTATATTTGAATTGAGAACTTAATGTAAGAAAAATGAATGTAAAGAAATAATCTTAAAAATTAAACATGTAAGAGGGTTTAAAATTGCTTAAGAATATGATCTATTAATCAAAGTATGTATGAAAATAAGAAATTTGTATTTTTTTAATAATTATTAAAAAAATGTCTCAAATGGAAGAAGAATACTGTAATTTAGAGGATGAAGTTGCATTACTTACTTGTAGCAGATCTCCAAAGTCTAAGAAAATAAAAAAAAATGATTCTCTTTCCCCAAGAAAAAATATTGGTCATTGGACGAAGGATGAGCATGAAAAATATTTACAGTTCTTAGAAGATCATGCTCATTTAAAGAAAAATAACAAAATCTTCAAACCAATGTCAGAAATCATTGGAACTCGTTCTCCTAGTTAATGCAGGTAAATAATTCAATGTAATTTAGATCTCATCATCAAAAATTTAACCCTTTATCCCCTCAAGTTTAAAGAAAATCTGTTAAATTGATTAGATTAAACTAAGAAATAAAAGTGACTACTTAATAGTATGAAGAAACTAATCAAACTATAGACGATGAAAAATAAATTAAAATTAGGGTTAGATTAGTAATGTATGATGATGAATTTGCTTAAGATGATTAAGAATTTAATTTAGATGAGTTGATCTGATACATTATTCATTTTTTATAATTTAATTCCTATTCTTTTTTATTTTTAACTTCTATATTAAATTGCTTATATTTAGATCAGTGAAAGAAAATAAGAGCATTAATAAATTATAATTATTGACCTCAGTACTCTCTGATTAAAAATATAATAAATATTTTTGTAATTATGAATACAAGAGAAATAGTAGAATATGAATTGTAATAAATTAAGGATAACAGCCGAAAGTATCCTTTATTGTAGAAAGTAAGATCTTAAAGTCTATACATAATAAGGTTTGTGAATCAAATCCATCAGAATTAGATACTCATACTTTATTATAGCAATTATTACCCTTGATAGTCAGCTCTAAAAATAATAAATTAATTTCATTAGGAATAGGACTAATCTAGAAATTGCAGCATTAACTCTAATTAACTACAGTATTATTAATATATTATTAGAACGATCTTGATATCATTATTGATTATTTTAATAATTCAAAATCATAGTAAGATGAAACAGTAGATATCAGACTAGTTTCAACTTTAATTCATATTATTGGTCCAGATGTTATTGATTTTACAAATCTCAATCACATTTTGAAGGTCTTAAATTTGTTAATATATTTTTCATCTTCAGACAATCCAATAATAGCATAATCCTCAATTTAAGGCATTCTTACACTTAGTAATGTTTTGGAGGAATTATTATAGAGTTAATCAAAAAATACAATATTGCAATCCTATTTTGAATTATTAGAATTATTTTTTAACATTTTTCAAGATAAGGAGCAATCATCTATTTATGTGTCAAACAACCTTATATTATGTATTTATCATATTTGATTTCAATCACTTTAGGCAAAGATATTTTTATCATTATTCTGAAATGTGGAAAATATCTACTATAAATCGAAAAATTTCATATTTTCTATTTTGAAACTCTTTATGCTTACTTAACCAATATTGATTTAGTTAAAGAATCGAACATAATGAACAGTAAATATCATTTATAAATTAAATTAGAAATCAATATTATAAGATTGATATTCAATTATATATTAACTATTGAGGATAAATTTGAATTAATTACTTAATTAATGACTGTATATAGTAAAATATAACAGTATGATTAAAGTAAAATAGCAATTCATGATGGCATTTTATGTCTATATTCAAATCTATCAATATTCAAAAATTTATTAACACGATAGCCATATGAAAATATCTATAATGGTAAAATTTATATTATTATAATAAGATTATAATGATTTAATATTGAAATCGATTTATTAACATTCTTTATTTGGAATTAGAGAATTTTAGACTCAATAATCTCCAAAGTAGAATATTTTGATAAACAAATTAACAGCATCTTATATTGATTGTAATTTACAAATGGTTCCAAATATATTTGTTTAATAAATAAGTAATATAAAATTGATTAAAAGCTAGAAACTCTAATTTAAATAATTACTGATAATATATAAAAATTTTTATAGCAAGACGAATTTCAAAAAGAAGGGAGTGGTTTATTGTAAGAAATTAAAAACTAGAGCAGACTTCTTTAATCTCAATTATTTAATGGAGATAATGAGGATTAGATTGGAGATATATAAGAAACTGAAAGTGATGATATAAAATTTAGAACTCTATTTGATAAATTATGGAAGCCTCTTCTTAAAATAATGAAACAATTACTAAAAATAGCTAATAATTAATAATATATTAATTTATTAGAATATTTATCATCTTGGATATCATTTAGTTTATAATAAGAATAAATTAATAGCTTTTAACTCCTAATTAGATTTCTGGCTGCTTAATCTGCACCATTATCATTAAAATACATTGAAACAGATAAATGGTTAATAGCATGCAAAATATTTGAAGAAATTCTATATAATAATGTAAATTTAATAACAGCAAAAACATGGAATTTAATATTCTAAACATTACAAAGAATAGAATAGGTAGTTTCAAAGTCAACAGAAATAAAAATGACTACAGAAATATTTATTAAAAGTGCTTAATATCAAGATATAACTGTTTATTAAATGGTTGATGGATTAAATTAGTTGGCACTTTAAGTTTCAGAAAGACTTTAGATAAGTTAAAAAAAAAACTTCGATTCAATATATAAATCATTTGCAATTGATAAACTATTGCTTATAATTCATAATAATTGGTAAAGAATAGATTTATTATGGAAAATTGTAGATGCTTTATATTTATGTCTTTGTAGTTCAAAAGTTATGGAAATGCGTCTTAATGCTATTCATACATATAGAGACACAATATTTTCAGGAATAGAATATACTAAAAATAATAAGTTAAAATGGGGAGATAAATGGATTCAATATTTATTAAATCCATTAACTGAATTAATAATACTACCATATGAAGATGTTACAGAAAATATTCTATAATTTTTAACTATTTTAATTAAAGATCATGCTAAATATTTACCTCCAGAGGCATTTCAAGTTTTTATAACATTAATTGAAGTTGTTTTAAATGATTTTTTTAGTAAAGAAGTTATTCAATAAGAATTAAGTCAATAAGAATATAAATCTTTAATTTTTAGAACATAATTATCAATAGAATGTATGTCTGATATTATATTCAATCATATTGATATTTTAGAGAACTCATCAATCTGTAAATTGGCTAGCATATTAATTTCTCTAAATAAGCAAGAAGAATGTAATATTTTGTATTTAAATTAGGTAATTAAGAAATTGTAAATAAAATTATTTGTATGACTTGGTAAGTTTAAGAGAAACTTGTTAAATTAGACATTTAAAACTATGAATTTTGGCAAATTAATATGAAGTTATTTAAAAATTGTTTAGATAATCAAGATGATCTAAAATATGCTTCCATTCATATATCAAGTTAAATCTGCTCAATAGCTAAGGATTCTTAATTTACAGATTTATTTTAATTATTTGAAGAGTTAATTCAGCATTCTATGGAATAATATCTAAAGATAGAACAACATTAATTATCCCTGATCCAATAAACACCTAGATTTACATAACTACCAATGGAAACTCCTAAATTCTAAGGATCTATTAAATAAATATTTTTTGATAAATCAACATCCTTATAATTATTTAAACTATAATTTGAATTAGTAAAGTTGTGCATCTAAAAAATTACAGATGTTATTATTAACAAATAATTATATCCTAAATTTTATTATTATTTGCAATTGTTTAATTAAGCATAGTGTGTTTATGTAAAACATGAGATAGTTTTAGCTTGTTAAAGAATAATATAATCAAATTAAGATAAGCAATTATTGATAGGTACTATTGATTTTTTAGTTACTCTTATTAATTATGAATAAACTTTGGATGTGGAAGATATTTAGTATTATTTTGAAAATAGAACCTTTCAGATTTTTTGTGATGTCATTAAATTAACTATCCCAATAAATCATAAAAAAGGTTTACATGCACTCTAATTGGTTTTTAATTTTTTATGTCAAGATCAAGCTATTTAACTTCTTAATGATGATAATAATATATTCAAATATTATTATAAATAATGTTCTTAATTTGATAATTTAGAAGAGGAAATAATAGCCGAATGGCTGCACTTTATAAATTAGCAAATATCTTAATTAGGTACTGTTTAAAAACATCATTATTTTATTGAATTTTTAATTAATTGTTTTGAAGCAATTATTAGTAATAGGCAATTAAATTAAAATGATTTAAATGAGGCTAATAAATTTGTAGGTGTTTTGAATGGTTTTTTAAATGTAAAGATTAATATATTAAATAGAATTGCTAAAAATTGATAAATGACAATTCTGAAAAACTACAATTAATTTTGATTACAAAACTAAAAAATATTATTACAATTATGATTCCATTTTTAGATTATAATTCAATCCAAAAGCTATTTGAACCTCTTATCACAACATAATTAACAAGTATTATATATTTAAAAATTATTAAGTATCTAACAAAAGAACATAAGATTGGATTACTTTTTTTATTAATGATGCATAATATTTAAATGTTGAATAATAAGATGTAGTAGTTTAATTATTTACGAATTATTACATAAATAAATTAAAGATTTCAGATTTAGAAACATAATAATTAATTATAGTGAGTTTAGTTGGATTTTTAGAGATGGAGAATTAGATTGTAGAAAAGTTTTCATTGTCTATCCGAGTTCATCTATTAAATAGCATTCATGAAAATTTAAAAGAATTTTTGAATGAGGAAAGCCCATCATTTGAAAAACAATTTAATATATAAAAAATATTAGATTATCTAAGTAGATTAGATAAAAATGATTTGAAGGAGTTTTATTTAACATTTGTAGAAATGATAAAATGTGGATAATTAGAAATTAGAACTAAACTAATAACACTTCTTAGTAAATATTTTTGATTTTATGTTTATCTATTCTATATATTATGAATCTGTGTAGATAAATTTTACACTCTTATAAATAATCAATATTAAATCTATTTACATAAATTAACATATTTTTGAACAGCCTAAGAAAATTCTATAAAACTAATTTTATCATCTCCATTTTGATCAAAATGATTGAAAATTTCTTTACAATCATTGTCAAAATCTTCTTTTCCAATGAATTTAAATAGTTCATCAAGTGTGATACATCCATCCTTATTTTTATCTAAAACATCAAATGCTACTCTAATTTTTTCTTAATTTTAATAAAATAAAATTACCATCAATATCTGATAATTTACAAGTTGCAGCAACAAATTCACTAAAGTCTAAAGAACCACTTTAATTTACATCCAAAAAATCGAATATTTTGTTTACTTTATCATCTAATTGATTTTTTGAATAGATTTATTGTAATGCAATTTTAAGTTCTTCTTTTGAGATAGTTCCTAATTATCTTATATAATCAATTATACCATTATTATCTTTATCAATTTTACGAAAGATTCGATTCAATACTTTTTTATCATCTTTGTGTACTAATTCAGTAGCAATAAATAAAACTATTGCTTATAAAAATCTGCTTTATTTAATATTATTGTCTTAATCTTCAGTATAACCATTAAATTATATCATACTCTCTTTAAAATCTTACGAAGGTATTTATTCAGATGAATGACTAATATAATTAGAATATATAAGAAACAATACCTTTCAAACCATGGATCTTCTAGAACTTATTAAGCATTAGGTCTTAATTCTGGGTTTTTCTCTAACATTCTTTTTAATAAATCTTTTACAATAGTACTATATTAATTCCATGATTAGTATCTAATAATAAATGAATGAATACTTGAATTCTATTATTTGATTTTTGATATTAAATAAAATTTCTTTTGAATCTGTTCCTTAAAATGGTGGATCATTGCATAATAATATATAGAGTACAACTCCACATGACCAAATATCACATTTTTAGTCATAGGATTCTTCCATCACTTCAGGAGCTACAAAATGAATAGTACCGCATTTTAGACTTAATTTTTCATATTATTAAATCATTCCTGAGAATCCCCAATCAATGAGTTTAATAGATGTAGTAACTTCATCATCAATTAAAATATTTTCAGGTTTGATATCTCTATGAATTATATTTTTCTTATGAGCAAAATTAATGGAGCCAATTAATTACTTCATAATTTTAAGAACTTCACCCTCTTTAAGAGGATAATGATCTTCAATATATTGAGTTAAGGTTCCTCCTTCACAGAGTTCCGAAATAATGTAAAATTTATGATCATCTTCAAAACTATGATATAGTTTTAATATATTTGGATGATCTAATCTAAAATAAGAGTTTAATATACAGTTTAAGGTTTTGAAATTCTTTTCTAAAATTATCATTTTTATCTTCATTGATTTTCTTAATAACTTTCATGGCTCTAATTTCATTATTTAATTTGCATCTAACTTTAATTACACAACCCTATCCCCCTGCTCCTATACATTATTTATCTATAGGTTCATAAAGTTATTGATAAGGCCCTTCCATTTATTATATGAAATTGGAATAATCAATTCCAATTTTCTCTTCTTGTTCACTAAATGAATAGGGTATATTTGATTCTTATATACAAACTCTTTTATATGGTTACATAAAATATTAATAAATATATTTTCATTATTATCTAGAAAGCGATTTCACTTAAATAGCTTTTATTAAATCAAGAGTTCCTTTTAGTTATTTGCTTTGAATATTGTAAACAGTAGGCAATGGAGTATTATAAGCTTCATCTATTATTTAACTTTAAAAAGAGTTCATTCGAGAACTAGATAATAAAATATAAAGTAGTACACTTTTCTTCTAATTTAATAAGAGCCAATCTTTTTAAGACTTTGTGTTTATTCATTTTTAAAAAACAAATTAGATTATTAGATAGGAATTTCTGATGATGGTTTAGGTTTACTTTTAACCATAAGAGGTGTTGAATCTCTTCTAAAACTAGCCTTAGTTCTAGAATAACGAGTAATAATTATATCTTATTCCGCATCTGAATCAGATCCTGATGCTTAATCTTCATTTTTTTCTTTCTTTATGATTTTATAAGCTTAACTAATTTCTTAAGCATCAAAAAGTTGTGGGTCTACCTAGTTTTCATCATAATTATTTATTGCATTTAAAATATGATGAGCCATTTAAATAAAATCTACTTTTTCAAAAGGTTTCTTAGCATAACCATATAGAGATGTTTCTATTGTCATTGAATTATTAATTTGCAATTTTCTCCACATTGCAACTCTGGCTGTGCTCATTCTATCTTATCTAACACTAAATGAACAATCCTATAATTAGGATTATTTTATTATACTTTGTAACTAAAATAATCATTTCCTTATTATAATAATCTGCTAAATTATTTAATTCTCATATAATCAGATATATGTTTGATTTATGTTGAACATCCATAAAGAAATTAATTCAATTTTTTAGAATGACCATGTAAATCAATAAGGAATGCTACTTTATATTTTTTTATTTGTTTAGATATTTGATATACTTCAGGTTCAGTATTTGGATTTGGTAAATCCCATTTTCTAAATTTATTTCTATTTAAATACCTATTGAGATCAACCCCATTAAAATTACATCTGGAATTACCCAAAAATACTCCATCAGGATTTACCATTGGAAAAATTACAAATTTATATTTGTTTTAAACTTTATGACCATTATCCAAAAATTTGATAATTTCTTCACATATAAAAGATCCTACTGATTCACTTGGATGTTAACGAGCCAAAATGACTATCACATCAGAAGCTATTAAGATTTATATAAGTATATCTACTTTACTTTTATGTTTTGTTTTAAGCTTAAATATTGGTAATCCTAATGGACTATTACATATTACTTTATGTTTCATTTTAGAATGATAAACTAAATGATATAGATTACAAACTGTATATGGTTATGTTAATGCAAAATACACAATGTTCCTATTTTAAGTAAAATTATAATTAAATTGGAGAGTGTGTAAAGCAAAAGTTTATTACAAATTTGCTATTAAAGAATCTTCAGAATGATAAAAAGGATGGTTGATATTTGTTCTATAATAATATAATTCTTTTGTTGTTTCATAATTCCATTTATCATTATCAAACACTCTTATATGATTATATTCTTTCAATAAAGATTTTTCTCTTCGATTATTTAGAATACGAAGTGTAAGTTATTGTGGTTACTTTACTTGAATTCCAAAATAAAACCATTATGTGCATCCATTTGTATTTGTATCCCCATTCAATAAGATATTTAATTCATTACCATCCTATTATACAGCCATTATATTTGAGTTTTCAAATGTACCATAAACTATCAAATCTGAAGACTCAAAGAATGATTGAGGTTCATGTTTGAAATTATGTTATTGATACTATTTTATTAACTCCTTTCTACTATTGATATTTAATGTTGGTTCCTTTAATTTCTTTTAGAACAACTAAGTAAAATCTAAAAATTGATTTCCTAAATCTTTGTTTGTTTTGAGTAATTTTTTTATTTAAACACTCATCCAATTAAAATATATATTAATTTTCATTGATAATAATAATCAGGATACAATACATGTTACTTTTTAAATTTATCAGCGGAATTGAAAATTACACTTTCACTCTTGATACCTTCCTAATCCTATTTATGAGTTGGAGATATAGCATGAATCTCAAATTATTTTGTTTATTCAATCAAATGATTTTTAAAGTATTCTTATACTTCTGATAATTTTATGCCTTCTAAAATATTCAATTATTGAACTCTTCTATCAAATAATCTCTAATGTTTTTAAACTTCATTCCACATACGAGCTGATTCTTTTATTAATGAATAATCCTTTTCTAATAATTAAACCTTAACAGCATTTTTAAATTCTTCAAAGTCTTTCTCACTCATCTCACTAATCAACTTATTCAAATCTTTATTAATAAATGTTCTAATATTCAATTAATATTATTACCTAATTCTATCTTATACATAATTTGGACACTTTACATTACTTTGTATCAAAAATGTGAATCCTGCTACTCCTCTTACATCACTCAACAATGAAAAAACTGCATATCCTAATTATTCAGTAGTTCTTAATTAAGCAAAGAATGGGGTCTTCATTATAGTTTATAAGATATCTTTATATAAATATTTATAATACCATTAAAAAGTTAAGTTCTTAAATCAGGCTTTCCTATTTAATAATGAACAACTATTCCTGAATTAGTTTCTGTTGGTTCATTTAAATAATAAGTATAATTGCATACCTCCTTTTAATTCAACATTACTGGTCTTATTTATAATACTTGTTCATATTTAAGTGTTTTTGCTTTAAATAGTTAAAGGGACTTTTCAACAATTTCAATTGCATCTTATTTAACCAAATTTCCCATAATTAACCATTCAAATCGACATCTCTTAAGGAAATTACTAGAGAAATGAACAACATCATTAAAAGTGATATTAGTTAATTAATCTAACAATTCTTAAGTTTCAAATGATGATCCCTCTCTTAATAAAACACTTATAAGAGAGTGGACTTATTAATATGGTTAAGATCTCTTAAAGTTTTCTAAATCCTAGGTTATTTTAACAAATGTAGATTCATATTAATCCTAATAACCTTCAGGTTTAAATGAGATTATTTTTTGAAACATACCTAAAACAAATCTAGAGATTGAATCACTAAATCCATTTATTGAAATTTCTAAACCATTTGCTGCTAATTATAATGATGCATCAATTTTAGCCATTTCTGCTAAATAATTAAATTCTCTAACATGATTCTTTAATAGAGCTTGCCATATTTTTGCAATCGCCTCGGTTTTTGATAATTTACCATACCCAACTTCTACTGTATTTATTCTTAGTTGAATTACTGTTTTTGGTACTTGGAATCTATCATCTTACTTGAACCATAAATCACTTTATTCGTTTTACCAAATCAATTCAGGAAATTAAGGTAGACCATTTTGTTAAGGTAAGACATTTGTATGTTTTGGAATATATATATTTTAAGGAGGCAAATTTAATTAAGGTGATATTGTTTCACCTGCTTTTTAAAATACTGTGGTTATTTCTTCAGAAAATTTTACTTAACTATATTCAGTTCCAAAATATTCCTCTTTATTACCTAATTAGTTTGAAAATGTTTATGATGATAAGAATATTATCAATCTATCTCCAGTTAATTAATTTGTTATCTATTAAATTAATTCTGGTTAATATTATTCCATTAAGTAAGGTGATCTTAAAATATCTTCTATTGGATACAATTACATTCTTGAAGCCAAAGTACAAACATAATTGAAGGGATCTCCTTTTTCTAAGAAATCAAATTCTAATTTTTTAATTGCTTAGATTTCTTTAAAAATCCATTCTTATGGTCCTTTTTATTTAAGTAATTCTATGTATTCTTAAACATATTAAATAACTTTTAAATATTATTATAAACCCTTTTATGTTAATTTAATTCTAATCGACATATCTGAAAACTATTTCATTGTATTAGATGGTCCTGATGATAATTCTTAAGCTAAATCTTCTTTAATAAGAAGAGACAATAGAGAATTTTCTCCTTCATGACCAATCAAATGAGATAAATACTTTCCTGGACAACTTCTATAGTGAGGATAAAGATAATCAAGGATATAAATCAATTCCAAATAATCTTAATTTTTAATTGGAACATATTTAATCAATTATCCTAAATTTGTTTAATTAAATGGCATAATATTATATGAAGGAGAAGTTAAATTTTTATTTTGAATTGTTTCAAAATAAGAATGAGCCCAACCCTCTAAAGTTTCAATTGATTATGAACCATAAATGACTAATTTCATAACATTTGCTGAGTAATATCTATTATGAAATTCTTATAATCTTGCACGTGTATCTTCGAATTACAAAGTCTTCAAATTACCAATCATAAACTTGTTATATTAACTTCCAGGAAGGGAAGCATTGTGAAACAGTTGAAATTTACGCCAAAAATCATTTTATAGATTCATATTATATTCTGAATCAACTGCTTTCATTTCACGTTCTGTACATGAATCGCTGAAAAGTGGACAAATGAAGAATTAAGCAAATCTATCTAGAGCCCCTTCTAATGCTTAATTGGCAACTGAGAAAAAAAAATTAGTATTAAGCTCACTTGTAAAAGCATTAGTGGATCCAGCATTCTTTGATATATATTACTAATATTCATTTTCATTTGGATATCTTTAAGATAAAATTTATTTAATACTTATCTGTACCCATAAATAACATATGTTCACAAAAATGAGCGAGACCCATTCTATCTACAGGATCTTCAAGTGATCCTACATCAACATTTAAAGCAGCTGCTGATTTTTCTGTTTCAGGATCTGATATCAAAAGACACAACAATGAATTGCTGAGAGTTACAGATTTAAATGCTCTCTTATCTATCGTGCTTTTATGTATCATTAATTTATTTCAATTTTGTATTATTAAAAAATTACTTAATTAGTTCTCTTAAAAAAATTCTTATGTTTTTTTTTAAATATAACTATTGTTATTATCTTTAACCAATTAATTAATTAAAGTAATGTATGTTATTAGAAGAGTTAAAAATAATCGCATTTGATAATAACTAAAAATTATATTATGAAAGGTTTTTATATATAAACTAAATAAAAATTGCAAGATATAATTGTTATTAAATGTTTATTATAATATCAATAAAAAAGTGATCTGATTAATTTAAGAATAATGTTTAATTTGAATGTTAGTTATTATTTGACTTTTAATTTAAATTTATTTTTAAAATACATATTTTATGAAGGGTGGAAAACAATCAAAGAATAAGTCAATTTGGGATTAAGTTAAAAATGAAGAAAAAGACTTCTATTTCAACTTCCTTACCAAAAAATATAGAAATGTGTAAAAAAAATTGAAAGACATTGCTGATTTAGAAGAATTGTAAAAAACAAAAGAATTGAAAGCAGAATAAGTATAAAAGATTCAAAGCAAAGAAGAGAATAATGAAAGAATAAAAGAATTGGAAGTCTAAGTCTCAAATTGGTTGTAAGCTAAAAAAGAAGCAGAATAAAGTGGTTCTTTAATCACTTAGGAAGTTTTTATTTTAATATTGGAGCATTTATGTGAAAATAAAGAGACAGTAGAACTATTGAGTGAAGATCATTAATCTATATATGAATTGGCTAAATAGCTTCAAAATAGAGTAAATAATCAATAAAAGAAAAAGGATCAATAATGGAAGGGATTGAAAGTATATATAAATAAATATTAAATTTAAGTTAAAACATTAACCACAAATTGAAGTTCCTAATCAAGAAGCACCTTAGTAAATTTAATAATAGCAATAAGAAACTCCATAATAAATAGACACAGTTGAAATTCCGAAAGAATAACCATAAGTTTAATAGTAGGAATAATATGTTTTAATGAAGTCTAGTCCTAAGAAATCATTTTAAGATGAGAATCGTTAATAAATTCATTAACCCTTAGATTAACTTCCAAATTAACATACAGAATAGTAAGAATAATAAGAGTAGAATCAACCTTAATAAGAAATATCATAATAATAAACATAAGAAGGAAAAGAAGAATAATAACATGATTAAAAAGGTAATCATTAACATTCAAGGGATGGTAATAGATACCATCATCATCATGATGATTAAAGAAAGGGATACAAAAAAAACTATCATCATGATAGACGAAATAATAATAATAATGGAGATAATAACAAATAATATAGAGGAAATAAATATCATAATAGAGATAGACATTAAAGAGAAGAATGGTAAGAAAAAAAGGAAGTTTAAGAACATGATTAAAATAATGATAATTAAGATCATCATAGTTCAGACGAAGAATATATCACTGTAGAACGTAGGTAATTATATTCTGCTATTAATAGATCAAAAAAACCTTAATAGAAACCTACTAGAGGATCTAATAGAAATCATTATGATAATAAGAATAGATCATAAAGAAATCCAAGTGACAATTCAGAGACTGTTAATGCCTAATCATGAGATTATATTTAAAAATGTATAAAATAAAAAATATTCAGCATTGTTCTATTTCTAACTCTCTTCTTTAATTAATTATCCATTCTATCACCTTTTTATATATACTACAAAGAATTTAGACTATTTTTTATATATTTTCTTAGATATCATTAAAATGCTCTATTATACTTTTTTATGAACATTTTTAATCATTAATGTATATTAACACTTCTTTCTCACTCTACTTTATCTTATTTTATTATTCTTATAAATTTTATGCTACATTCAATTCAAATGCTGTTGAATTGATAAATTATTATAATACTTTTACAGCTATTTATATTAATTATTATTATTATTTCATTTGTATTTCACCTATTTTAATTAATTCTTAATTTAATTATATTTAATCAGAATATCTTAATTGTTCCAATTCTTGTACTAATTATTAATAATTTCTTTCCTTTTCATTTTAAGAATTCTTGAGATTTATTATTTAATATTCTAACAATTTCTTCTCTGTTTCAAACTAATTCTTATTTAATTAGTTTTCATTCTCATGCAGCTAAAGCATTATTTTATTATTTTTTTCAATCATTTATAATTATTCACTCAAACTTTAAACTTATTATTTTTGATTCTATATATTGTCCATTATTTTTTTTTTTGCATCTTCGATATTTTCGATATAATTTTCATCATTTTAAAAAAATCTTGCCAATTATTAAATATACAATTCATAATTCTTAAAAGAAGATTTTTTATTCTCTATTTCTTAACTTTACGTCTAGATTATTTTTTCTAAATTTTCTATCTTAAACTAAAATTCATGAATCATTTCTTTATAAATATTGACTTATTCCTATAATTCTGAATAACTGTTGCTAAACTTACTATGCTCGCTTAATATATCATCTTTAAATATAGAAATCTCTCTTTAAAATCTCTATTCAACAACTGTCTTGATATCTGTTAAACTTTTCTTAAATTCATTTAGATGAATATGTTATTTATTTTTAAATGAAAATATTTTCTTTTTTTTCTTAAAATCAAATTAATAAGATTATTTGTCAATTTCAGATAAAGTATTTTAATGAGGTTCTTCATAATTTGATCCTGAAAATTTGGATTTACTTTAATCAAATTCTTTATCAATTTGATCATTTTTAACTACATAAATTTTATTAAATTGTTAAATTATTTCACTACAAGATTCATTAAAATATTTACCATGCTCTATTGTTTTCGGAGATGAGCAAGCTTAATTTTTTATTTCCTCCTATAATAAAATAATATTCTCGTTCATTTTTTAAAACATGTCTTATTTAAAGCTATGATTTAAACTTTAATCATCAAAATTTGATTATTTTGTAGTAAAATTAAATTATTTTTAACTTGAAGTTTAGTTACTTTTTTATAATATTTCATTCATTTAATGTAATATTATAATCACATCAGGATCTTAATCTAATATCTAACATACCTTCATTATATTTTTTTATTATTTCTACCCAAAATACAATTTATTTCTAAATTTAATGAATGCAACATGGTGAATTTTCAAACATTTTATTATCATGAAAATCTTATGACTCTTATAATTTGAGTGATCTTTCTTAATCCTTATTTTATTTAATTTTTAGTTACCTTTCCTAGATTTTCTTCTTTAGAATTTTCAATGTCCATTTATAATTTATTTTAAATTAAATAGATAATTTATAACTTTATGTAAATTTATCATTAATTTCTTCTCTATTGTATATCTCTTATAAATCTTTTATATAAATCTAAAGAGTTATCATATAAATTTTTAAGCTCCATTTCTAAATTTGTATAAAATTTTTCAATATCCTTTAAATCTTTTAATGAGAAATTTTTTTTTTCTTAGTATTTTTTATGAAATTTTATTAATTCAGCTATTAATTTTTTAATAGCATCATCATCTGAATTTTCAGACAAATAATATTATTGAAATATTTTAAGTCCCAATTGTATATAAAGTAAAGACTTATCTTATAATTTAAAACAGCCTTCAAGTTAAGTTTATATTGCTTTATTTTTTTCTTCTTAATATTATTACTTTAAGCTTTCTTTCTCAATATTGATATATTTAAGTATATTATTCAAAGTTGATTCTATTTCTAATATCTTATTAGTCTTTAAATTAATTTAATCTTGTTGATTTAATTAACTTTCTTATTTTTATTAAAACTAAACAATTATCTAACTTAAAAATTGTGATGATTCATTATTTTTTAACTAATTCTCTAAATTCTAATTATCTTATTTTAATTATTTAATTTACTCTTCTTTTTCAGCTAATTTATGATTCAATTCATTTATATTTCTTTCACTATCACCAGTGATTGTATGACGGATCTGTTTAATTTATTAAACTATTTAATCTAAATTATTATCATTTAATTTCTATGTTGTTTAATTAGTTTTATTAGATATTTCTTTTAATAATTCTTGCATTTATTACATTTTAAAACAAACATTTTAATCATTAAATGATTGTAAACTTAATTCATTTAAAATCTCCTATTTATCATTAATCACTTTTTAAAGTCCTTATTTTAATGATTCTATTTCATTCTATAACAATTCATTTTTATTTTTATAATTTTTAGATTCTTCTTAAAGTATTTTTTGTACAGAGAAATTTAAAGCTTTAAAATTTTTTTCCACAAATTAATTGATTTTATTCTTCAAATTCTCTTCTAATTTTTCTTTAGAAATAAAATTCTAGATTCCTTTTGAATGTTTTTATGAAAGTTAAATAATATTTATGTTTTCATTTGCAACAGATTCAATATATTAGTATTATTCTAATTTTTCTTCCAACTTTTTTTATTATTCATTATAATATTAAATAGATTTTTCATATTTATCTATTTCAATTTCCTACTCTCTTTTTTTTAAGTTTAAAATATCATTGGACCAGTCCTACATATATTTGTCAATTGTTTCTTTATATTAATTTTATTCTAATTGATATTAATTAATCTATGCAACAATTGCCTTAATTTTCTTCAAAATTGATTGTTTTTATTCTTGGTTTATCCTAAAAATTTGAATTATAAAACTTACCTATGATTAATAGGAGATTAAATATCTACTTCTTAATCCATAATTGATTACATTTATTTTTATTATTATTAATGATTATGCATTTAATAATAATCTGAATATTATTCAGAGTGTCTAAATTATTCTGATCCTCTCTAGAATTCAAATTAGTCGTCATCCTCTAATAACTATTAAGAATATAATACACGAAGAGTGCAGGATAGCTTAATTGAAGATAACTATTTATTTGTTCATATCACTAACATAATTTATATTTGTTAAAAAATTGTCTTAACAAAAGATTGAGGTCCCTTAATTACAATAGGATTCTTGAGATACTGAATTATTGCTAATATCATTTTCTAAACTAATTTTAGAATTTTTTGTTCTTTCTAAAGAATTGTCAATAATTTGCATTAAATTCTTTAAGTGTGTTTCTTGATTTTTTGTCTAATGTTATAATCTAAATCTACATTTTCCTTTGTTAACTCTAAACAAAGTGCTTTTGCTTAATTTAATTAACCCATTAGCCATTATATCAAATCTTCATTCACTTTAGCTTTTAGAATTTACTCAAGAAACTCATTTTTCTAGCTCTACTCATTATTATTATACTACTCTAAATTTTATGGATTATTTAGAATCTATTCTTGACCTAATTTTTCATTAAATTTAGTTACCCTCTTATTAATCCATTTTTTAATTTTTTTTAGGTTATCCCTAAATAACTTACTCAAATTCAATATACAAAAATCTCTCAATCAGAAATACCACCTTATACTATTAAAAGAATATTAATAAAAATTAAAAAAAAATCATCATAATACTTAGAAAATTAAATTTTATTGTTTATTCTAATTACCTACACCATGAGTTAATCCATAGATGCATATAATACTCATCTTGAATTAAATTTGATCTTGAAATCAAAATACTTTTTTGCCATTTTTAAATGAAAATTTAATTAGGATGTGATAAATCAATTTTATCTTTGGTTTTCTATCCTATATCATCTCTTTATTTTTATTGATGAAGATTTTTTTATATTTGCTAACTTTATAGTTTTATCATAAATTAAGCAAAAACTAGAAATACTTTCTAATTGATTTCATTTAATCTTTAATTTATCTATTTTTAATAAATATAAACAAACCTTTCTTTGAACTCAATTTTAATTATATAAATTCCTATATTCAAAAGGCTGATGAGCTGATTCATTTATAAAATATTAAAGTATTTGAATTTCTTCCATCATTATATGTATTTTTAAAATATTAAATTTTTGACACACAATATTTACTATTTTTTGCCTCTTGCCATCATTTTTAAGCTAAAAATAAAAATTCATGATATCTAAAAATGATAGCATTAAAAAATTTTGATCCCTGAAATATTTAAAATAAATTTATCTGAAAAAATAATAGATTACTATTACTTATATAAATTTGTCATAAATAGTAAATTAAAAATTAAGATTCAAATTAAAAGTAAGAATAATCTATTTTAGAGAAGTTTGCATAAGAAATATAAATAACTTTTGATGGGGATTTTAAAATCAATATTAAACATTTTTGGCAATATTTTAAAAAAATCAAACTACTAAAAATTGTTTGAACTAAAAATAATTTGAAATTAGAAATGTATTAAAAATTAATGAATAATATATGTTCAATTTCTTAGTTTTTGAATTATAAATTATTATCAAAAAATATGATAATAGTTTTATTACTTATGAGATATTTACTAGATTTATTTTTCATAATTATCTCACAATATGAAATATTGTAGTCAATTTTATAATATGATATTAAAACAAGTTATATAAAGAATTCATATTAAATGAAGTCCAACTTCAGTGATGTATTATTGAGAGTAGCGATCAACGTTATTTCTTAAATCTTTGACTATTTAATTGAGTACCATTGAATTTTCAATCTAAAATTAATAAATTTAAGCAAAAGACTCTTTTGCTATAGGAAATGGATTAGATTAAAAATGTTATAGTTTAATTTATTATTTTTTGTTTCTAAATTCTGTTTCTTGTTATTATTCATACTATAATTATTTCGATTGATTATTCATGAAAACTAAAAAGTCTAATGGGGGAGTTTATTTATTCAATAAGTACTAAGTTATTTAAGATAATTAATTAGAGAAATGCTTAGTGTCTTAAATTTTTTGTTTGATATCAACCATTTTAGTATGAACTAAATCAAATTATTCTTATAATTCAAAAAGCCATTTATTTTGTTCTTACAATTTGGTTTTGAGTTCATTGTTTTCAATAATAATTGATTATAGATTTGCTTCTAAATCTAAACTTTTAGTTTGGTATTATTTATATGCATTTAATTCATTTTATAATTGAATTATTTACTGTTATAATGTTTATTCAGATTTCTAGTATTATCTTTTATTACTTTCGATTTCTCTTGACATTTATGATATTAATAATTAATGTTATTGTGTAATAATTTCTTTTTCCCTTTTCAATTAATTAATAATAGAAGAATTTATGGGTGAAGTATCTGTATTATCGTTATTGTTAATTTAAGAATGCTAAATCTATTGTACATAATCTTGGATGTGTGTATTTTGAATATCATCTGGTTGATAAACTTAAAAAGCCTATGCATCAATATATTAAGATGTAGCTATAGATTTTGGAACAAAAAAACTTTATTTAGTAGATTTTCTAGTAGGAACACAGCTGAAATAACTCTTATCTATGCTGCTACTTTTATTATTAGATTTAGTAAATAATAGTGACTAAGATTAGATGTATAAATACTAATTATTAAGAATCACGAACTTAAGGAGTTTAAGGATGTTTAATCATCATTTTATTTTAATGTTGTTCAATTTTGAGATTATTCTTATAAATAAGTGCTTTGAGTTGATCATCGGACATCGAATTAAAATATATAAAATTGTAATAAATATATATATGATGTATAGTTAATTTGATAGTTAATAAAAAGAGACTCACATCAGATTATTAACAAATTTATTAAACTTAGATAAATTAATTAAATTATGTTCTTTCGGGAAAGAAGAGTGCATTCTAATTAAAAGTAATATCATGGATATGAAGATGCTAAAAATTAATTAGATTTAGTTGATAAATTCATAAATCCTTCATATGATATACCAATAAGTCATTAGGCAAGTTAAAAGAGTGGAATTAGACAATTAAATTAATTGGATAAATCTTTTTAGATTCCAATTTAAAATGGATATCCCGAAGCATAATTAAATGAAGAAGTAGCTCAAATGTAGCAAACTTTAGATAAATAAAGTTAAACACTTAAAAGACTGTTGAAAGAATAAAAAGAAGTAACATTATAAATGGATAACTAAGATTAATAGAACTTAAATTTTAAAATAAGAACTAGATCATCTTAAAACTCAAGTCCAAACCCTTCATCTTAAATTGCCAAAGCTTCCTTAATATGACCAACTAAATGAAATCAAATATGAAATCAACTCTTTGAGATATTCATTTTTTCAATAAGCTCGACAACCTCAATAACCCATTATTTAACCACCTTAAATCATATATTAACATTTACCATAACCTATTTCATAATAATAATTTCTATAACCGTACATTCCCTATAATCATTAATATCCACATTCTGGATCTCAATAATTCTATCCTCCCTTTAATAATCCTTATTAATATCCCTATAATCCTTAATCATCTAGAATTAAACATAAAACTTAACAGCAATCTTCAGACTCCACTCATCTAACTAAAGTCAAAAATAAAACTAAAAATAAAACTAAAACTAATAGTTCCTTCTCGCAAGTTCCTAATTCAAGATAAAATAGCAAATAATTTATTCCTTAAATCTCTAAAGGATCTAATAAAAATACTAAATAAAGCTTTTTCATGGAAGTAATTTTATATAATTTTATTTAGAATAATCCAATAGAAAATTAAATATAAAATTCTAAATTAAAAAATATCTTTAATGCTGTTAGATATGCTATGAGATGGAAAATTTATTGTAAACCAAATAAAATCTTATGGAGGAAGCTCTATAAACATTCAATTGAATGTAAAACCATTATTTAAAAAACTTCTTATCCAATTGCTTTAAAACGTATAAAAGATTGGTGTAAAATGGTTTTAGCTAAAGTCGATAATTATTTAAGCAAAATTAAAGAAATTGATTTTATTGTATTATCATATTTAATCATAGAATCCAGAAAAACCACTTACTGATTAAGAAATTGATTAATCCTATATGTAACTCACTATCTCAACTAAATATCTAATGACCAGTTTGTTAACATACTGTACTAATGATTTTATGATTCCAGAGCTTAAATTTCTATCCTATTTATAGTTTTTTGATTCACCTAATATTGATAGAGGATTATTTATATCAAAACGAGTATTATTTTGGAAAGAAAATTAATTAGAAATGACTAAAACTCAATAATAAATGATTATTGGTGATCTAGTTATCCTTGTCCATATATTACCTGCACTATTAGAAATCTCAGGTTCATATTTTCTTATTAAATCAATGGTTACATTAGTTTAAATGTAATTTATGAAGAATTTTGATATAAAGATTGTAAACGAAAATCCAAATTTAAGAATTATACAATTAAATGTAATCGAATATATTAATGGAAAATTATCAGTTAAATTATAAAAAGTTGAAAATTTTTAAGATGAGAGATATATTGTTGGAATATATGAGGATTATCATTTTTCGGGGTTTTTTTAAAAAAGACCACACCTACAAGATGATATTTAAAAAACACTTTCTGAAATACATACTAATTTATTATAAGCTTTAACTGCTAAATGAATTATAATTAATTCTTTAACTAACAATAAACTTTAAATTAATAATCTAATTAATTAATTTCATGTATTTGCTTTATATATCTTAATTTTTCTTTTTATTTTCTCTCTTTTTATGTTATACAATTTAACCAAATTTTTTCTTAAGAATTTTTATCAAAATTTTAATCCAAGTTTTTACTCAGAATATGCATTAAATTTTAAGAAATTTGTAAAATATTTATTCTAAGATTAAATGAATATCTAAAAGAAAATAAGAAGAAATTCTAATTAATCATGAAAGATTAAGTATGTTATTAATTTATAAAATTTTATAATTCATTTCTTAAATTAAAAGAAAAATAAAATCATAGTAAAGATTTGTTTTCAAATCTCTTATTCAAATCTACTCTTAATGATCTTTAAAAAGAGAGCGAAATTTAAAACAAGTTTAAAGTAAAATGATTAGGATAAAGTTTTAAGATTAGTTAGATAATAAATAGAGTTTTTTTAAAAAGCTTCTGATTATCAAACTTAATAAGAATTTAAGCTTATTTGATTAAGTTAATAATAATAAGTAAAATAATAATAAATTTTAGAAATCAATTTATTAAATTTAATAAAGATTTAAAGGATGATAATTAATTATCCATATATTTAAATAATGAATAATATATTGTTTAATTCATTTTGGTGGGCTAACTGGTTGACGATATATACGATTATATTGTTCTTTTGGTAAAGTATGATAATCTAAAATTTATTTCTTAATTAATGATGTATTTAAATTTTATGACACATATGATGCATCAATTGATGATATTTAAATTGAATTATTTGCCTTTTATTTTCTCTTTTGAAATTCATTATCATTTCGCTTTTTAATTTTTTCCTCTTTTTCAATTTAAACAGTCCTAATAGAATAAATGTATTGAAATACTCTTTTTTTTCTTTCACAACTAATAAAGCTCTTTAAGTTTCTAATTCTAATTTTTATTTTTCTTATTTTTTTTATTCTGCTAATTCTTATTTTACTTGTTCCATCTCTAATTCCCTTTACTTTTTCTTTAAGTAATTCTCTTTTTAAATAAGTAAAAGTCTTTCATCTTCGATTGGCTTTAACACATTTGAACCCTTTTGGTTCTTAATGAGGAGTTATCTTTTTGCCTTTTTAACATTTTTTTATGGATCATCAACAATTTTATCTTTCTTTAACTCCTCTGGTAAAAACCTTGTATCAGGTGGAGGATTAGCAGGTTAAAGTTTTTACATTCTATCTACTAATTTTTGCATTCTTGTAAAATCGTACATTTTTATATTTAATATATTTTATTTATTAATCTAATATTGGAAATAAAATTATAAATATAAACCAAAATTATTCTAACAAACTAAAATTTTCGAAATTCAAAAAGCCTTAATCTGAAGAGTATGTAAATATACAAAGAAATTTTATATAATATTATTGATTAATATATTTAATCAAATATGGCATCAGCTACTAAAGTAAAAAGAAATAAGAGAAAAGAGAAAGAAGAACAAATATAAAGTAAATCATAAGGAAGCTTTCACAATTTAGAATTATTATGTAAAACAGATGATAGATAAAAAAAAACACTTTAGAAAATAATCAAATAAAAACCAGATCTTGCAAAAAGCTTAAATATATATGCAGATGGAGTTAGATACTACATAGCACGTTAATAATAGAGGGATAAATTATTGGCTGGAAAAGAAACTCCTTTGGCAGATGTTACAGAGGAATAAGTATAAATACCTGTTTTACCATCTATCACAAATCGTTAAATAGTAAGATAATTTAAACAGGACCCATTTAATCCAAGAAAACTATCAGAAAGCTTAGAAAAAGCAAATAGAAGATAAAATAATAGTAATAATTACACTCCTTTTGCAAATAGATAAAAGGTTGCTATTTTATCTTAAAATCCTCCTTTAAAAATAAATAGAGAAAAAGAATTACCAAAACTAAAAGTAAAGAAATAAAATCTTACTTAGTTTAATTATTATATAGGTCCTGGAAATAACGGAGAATTAGTTAAACGTATTTTATAAAGAAGAGAATAATATTGGAGTGCAGTACCATAATAATTTTAATATAAACATTTTATTTGGTAATAATCTTACTTTGGGATGGATTTTAATAAACTTTAAGCTTCAGATAGTTTATTCACAAGAGTTATGTATAATTTTTTTGAATTTCACAAAAATATCACATCTAAATCTGGTATATAATTAGATTTATTAAATAGGTTTATCAATGTCTTTATTATAATACTATAACAATATAGAGAGAACATTTGATGTTATTCCTTTAGTTTTTATCTTAAATTTTAAGAATTCTGATTGGATGAAAGATGTTCAATAATTTACTGAATTTTATTGTAATAATAATCCTTTACCTTAAACATCAATGAAAAATTCATTAGATTTTGACTTTTATGTATCAAATATTGCTCCAAATAAAGTAAATTATAATGGGATAAAAACTTATAAAATGGCAGAAACATTAACAAATAAGATGCAATATTTATGGCTTTTAAAACCTGCAGATTGGAATAGAGGAGAAGGAGTTCATGTGTTTAATACATTAGAAGAAGTAGAAGGGTTGATAAAATCATATTATAATGGGAAAGGTAATTATGAATGCAAGGAATTTGTGATATAGAAATATATTGAGAGACCTTTATTGTTGGGAGGAAGAAAATTCGACATAAGATGTTGGATATTGATAAGTCATGATATGCAGTTCTATTTATTTAAAGAGGCATATATAAGGACAAGTGGGGCAATATTTAGTTTAGAGAATGTATATTTATAGAAAAATTATAATAGAAAGATAGGTATATTCATTTGACAAATAACGCAGTGTAAAAAAATGCGTAGAATTATGGATAATTTGAAGATGGGAATTAATTATCACTAAAAAGATTTTAAAAGTAATTGGAGTAAGATATATTTTATAAAATTTAGTTTATAAGAAAAATAGTATGATTTTAGAAAGGAGGGATGGCCTAAAATAAAAGAGATAGTGAAGTTAACATTAAATTCGACAAGATTGAATAAAAGGAATAGAAAATATGGAATGCAAATCTTGGGTTATGATTTTATGGTCGACGAAAATTTAAAGTTGTGGTTAATAGAAGTTAATGCAAATCCATGTATAGAAGAGAGTTCGAATCTATTAAAGATGTTGATTCCTAGAATGTTGGATGATGCTTTCAAACTTACAATAGATAAAGTATTTACTCCAGATGTAGACTTTGGGAGTCAATAGTAAAAACTAAAAGTAGATGATTATGATGATTCTGAAAATATGTGGGAACTATTGGGGATGTGTGGATGAATAAATTAACTCAAATAAGTATATATATATAGGATTATAAAATATATAAAGATTTAAATAAATATTTAAATTTAATATGGATTAATAAACAGAGTAAGACAAACTTGAATCAATAGCAACTCCAGGAGTATTAGATAAATATTAAAATGCAGGCAAAATTGCAAATGGTATATAAAAAAATTGATTATTAAATAGTTGTACTAGAAAAGGTGATTACTAAACTATTGCCAGATGCTGATATTGCTTCTATTTGTGCTTTTGGTGATTCAGAAATTAGTGGAGAATTATTAAAGGTTTACAACAAGAAAGGAATCGAAAAAGGCTTAGCATTTCCAACAACAATCTCTGTAAATTAAATTTGCGGTCATTATTCTCCATTAAAGAGTGAAAGTAGTAAATTAGTAAAGGGTGATGTAGCTAAAATGTAAATGTTAAAAATAATATGATAGTGAATTAGGAGTTCATATTGATGGATATATAGCGATTGCAGGACACACAGTAGTTGTTGGAGAAGATAAGGTTGAAAATTAAAAGGCAGATGTCATATTGGCAGCCTATTAATCAGTCTAAGCTTTATATAGATCAATTAAGCCAGGAGTCACTAATACAGCTTTAACTAAAATTATATAACAAATTGCAGATGATCATAAATGTACACCATTAGAAGGTGTTCTCAGTCATGAGGTTAAGAGACACTTTATTGATGGAAATAAAGTCATAATCAATAGAGAAACTCAAGAATAAAGAGTTGATGAAGAAGAAATTTAAGTCAATGATGTTATTGTTTTAGATGTTTACATTACGACAGGTGATGGAAAGACTAAAGAAGTATTAATTATTAATGAATTTAGTCTGAATTAAGAACTACTGTTTACAAAAGAGCTTTGGATAGACAATATTAATTGAAAACCAAACATGGAAGAGCTTTCATGCAAGAGGTCTATGATAAATATCCATCTTTATGCTTTTCATTAAGAGCATTTGAAGATGAAATTACTGCAAAATTGGCTGTCTAAGAATGTGCTAAGCATGAATTATTAAATCCATATCCAGTTCTTATCAGTCCAAATAGTATTGTAGCATAATTCACTTTTACTGTTGCTGTTCTAGCCAATAGTACTCTTCAAATTTCTGGGCTAAAATTAGATGAAACTAAATATCAACCTGCTCATGATATTACAGATGCAGCACTCAAAGAATTATTGAAAGTATTGAATCAATCCTAAATTTAAGTTACCTATGGACAAAGATTCCCAAAAAAAAAGACATTTAGAGTCAAAACAAAAAGCTTGATAATATATATCAATTGGAGTAATACAGGTATATTAGTAATCTGTTTTATTATTTTTATTATATTTTCAAAATCCTATTTCTTCGTTTACCTTCTATAACATTTCATGGTTGTAATTACAATAAAAGTCATATTGATATATTAAGTGTGGGATTGAAGGTTTATATTGTTAGGGCACAACATTTATTAAGTTCTATAGCATTTTTGCATTCTCTTTTATTGAACAACACAAAATCTTTGCATCTTCCTTTCTTATATAATTTATTGTTTAAGCATATTTGCTCCACACTTCTTCTGTTATAAATGGAGGATCAATCAATATTATATCAAAACTATTTTTGAATTATTCTAAACCTTCAATTGGCTTATTGAAATCATAAAACACAAATCCTTTCTCTTTATTCAATTTCATATCAAATTCAAAAAGAGATGAGTTTTATTTTACTTCTTAATTTTTCAAACTACAATAAATTGATGGAGTTGATAGGAATGCTATCTTCTATCCATTTTAATAAATAGACTCAATATGATCAACCAAGAATTCAATTGTTTATTCTGAAAACCAATATTAGTTTAAAGCACTGTCTTCTGGTTTTTTAGCAAGAAATAAATTTTTCTTTTTCATCTTTATATTATTAATAAAAACCAAAAAAGTATTTATTATCATCAAGAATACAAAATCTCATAATTATCCATCATCATTTTCTACATTCTAATTATTTTCATTTTCAATTTCTCCATCAACTTATTCCTAAACATCTTATTCCTAATCTTTATTATTATTATTTTCTTCATCTTTTTATTCATCTATTTTATTTTCAAAGTTTTATATTTCCTGCATTTCATCATCTTCTAATTCCTAATATTATTAATTCTCAGACTAAATTACATTTTCTTAAGAAGCTTACATTATTTAAACATCTAATTATTTTAATTTATTCTTATACTTTCAAGAGTTTCAGCAATTTCTTAAAAATCAATTGCTTTTAAAGTCATTATAATATCTTCTTTTGCTACTTATACTCTCATTTTCTGATTTTTTTTCTTCCTAGAATCCTCTTTCATTACTGTTATCCTTAAAATTATTCGTTTTAATACATATGACTTAAATAAAATACGAAAAGAGTTAAACATCTATTAAATTTATCTCTAAAGGCTTTTTATGCTGTTATATTATCACCCAGAATCTTTTTGATGAATTCTGCAATTTGTTTTTATTAAAATAAAGGAAAATTTGAAATATCATTATCATCTTCAACTGCTTATAAATTATCTAAAATTTCTTCATCCATTAGAATAAAAAATTAAATAAAATAAATTAGATTATTCAATAATTAATATTATTAAGTTGCTATTTGATTGGTTCACTAGTCTAAGTAAAGTTATTAAGATCATATCCATTAAATTAAGCTTGATATGAATATATAAATACTTTAAATGGAGTTTCTTCTGAGCATAAGCATATTCTATTAAATTAATTCTCCATTTTCTTCATTTTCAATGGAAATTTATCTTGCATCAAAATTATCTTCAGATTACTATAAAATAAATATTGTAAATATATTACATGAGGGATAAAAGGAGCTTTTAATTCCTTATTATACAATTTTTACCATGGAAAATTCTTAAACCAAGAATGTTGTCTTAATTCTTAAGCTCCATTAAATCCTAAACGATTAGAAGGTTTTCTTTAAATAAGCTATATAATTAAAGTATATATACTCTATTAATAAAATCAGCAGATTCTAAAGACCAATTTTCTGGTATTTCTGATCTTTTAATTTGAATTTATTTGGCTAATATTTAATCTCTAATTTCTTTTCTTGATCTTCCTGTATAAGGTCTCTATTAAATATAAATGTATAGCTATATACCTTTCCTAACATAAATTCATATCCGATAACTCCAAGTGCAAAATAATCAACTGAAAATGAATGGTTTTATCGACACATCACTTCAGGTGCCATATATCCTGGAGTACCACTTGTATCTTAAGCATTATCAGATCTTAATACTCTAGCTATACCCAAATCAGTTATTCTTATATAACCTATTATTGTATTATGATATACCATTTTTATCAAGTACCAAATTTTCTGGTTTTACGTCTCTATGAATTATATTTTAAGAATGCATATATTCTAAACCCAAAAATATACATGCCATAAAAAATCCTCTTTTTTACATCAAAATATATACTTGTTTAATCTTCACTAAATCTACGCATTCTTCCTATATGGTATCTTAAGTCACCTCCTTACATATAATCCAAAGTCAAAAATAGATTTTCTCTATCTTGAAATGCATAATAGATATTAACCAAATATCTATTATTAATTTCATAATTATTACGGATGTTTAAGACTACTCAAAATATTCTTTTCATTCATTACTGAATTAACACTTTTTTTTGCAATTATTCTGATATATATAAATAAAATCTATATTACAATGCTTTTGACATCTCTTTTAGAGCATAAGTTTATCCTGTCTTTTTATATTCTACTTTCCATACTTTTCCAAATCCACCAACACCAATAACATATAAAAAATTAAACATATTTCTTTAAATTTGAAGATCATTATTAGTAAAATAGTTATTTTATTAAAAAGATGTTTTTAGCTATTACTGTTAAATTACTTGTTTATCTTATTCTTCATCTTCTTTTTTAAGCATTAAATAGTTTAGAAATGACATTTATTGTGTTTATTTTTATTTGGATATTGAAGATTTTTTAGAGTGATTTGCTGATGTGGATAGACTCGATTAAACTGAAAATTTCTACATTCCATTAATTAATGGAGAAGGGGAATGATCAATTTAATCAATCCTATCCTAATTATTAGCAAAATACCGATTATTATGAATCATTTATGTTACTTGATTTCCTTAATTTATTGTAGATTTATCTACTCTTTAAATTTAACTTGAACCCTATCTAGAATTAGGAATTCTATAATTCAAACCATACATAACAATTATATTTAATTT